ACACGAAAGTTTAAAAATAACCCCTATCATACTGTTTAATTAAACCTTCAATTACAAAAGTATTTAAAAAAAGAAACTAGAACTGTTTACTGTTAGTTAAAAATAACAAAGAGGGTTTAATATACTAATTTGACACTTGTGTTTACATCATGAAACTAAAGAATTCCTTAAATAAAATTATGTAAATTAACTAATACATTGAAATAGAAAAGATGTAGTTAACATAATCATAATTACAGTCAGTACAGGAATTAGCTAATCTCAATATTGATCCAGATAGTCAAATTAGACTATCTAATCTACCCCATTGCAATACAATACTAACATTTAACGTAGTGACGTAAGCAACTGTTTGAAAATTGATAAAACACTTTTACCATAGAATGTACAAAGCTATGACGACATACTCATGACATAGGTAATATTTACACGGGCTTGACCGTTAAATTATGCACATAAATGTAAATTAACTACATGTTTATGTCATGCGAAATTGAAATGAATAGTTGCACGACCTAGTGTGTTTCTTTTGTTTAGTCTTTTACTTTCTTCATGAGAGTTTTATGGCGGAGTCCTTGATGTTGTCAGAAAGATTCAAAGAGTTGACTTCTTAAAATTTCAAAGCATATAGCTGTGAATTGATTATTATTATTATAAAGATTTATACTAAATTAAATGAATATGTTTCTATGCTGTCGTGTGATTTCATGCGCGTAAACTGTATTTGTAAATTATATAATATTACGAATATAGTATATTCGGTAATACATGGAAAAGTATTACCGAATATTATATTCGTTAAAACATTTGATGCTATAATCATAATAATTTCTAAATTTAAAATGATACATTTATCCTTAATTGACACTTACATAACTTATACAAGTCAATTTTTTTTCCATATCTTGCAGTTTTAGTTTCAAATTCAGTTGAGAAAGTCTAACACGGAACTCTACTTCAGTTTCTAAATGAACATATTTTTTTGATATAATTATTAATTTTGTTCCTACGATTAATTAATGGGCCCATTAATTTACTGTACGATCTTATTGAGTATTATATTACAGTGAATGTTTACAATTATCCAGGATTTTATTACGGAATGAGGTTTATCCTTAATGTAAAGTTAAAAAGGTCTCCATTCAAATTCATCATTGAGAGATAATTAAGTCCGTATTCACTAATTACTAGTGCCTATATAGTGGAAATAACAACGCACCTTCACGACTAATAATGCATTGGCAAATGTCAAAGTAAACGTAACACTTGAATTCATTCGCCATTCCCTTATTTTTCTATATATTTTCTGACTAACGTGGCGTGGCTGCCGCTGTCTCTTTCTTTCTTCTCTCTGGTTAATTTGCACTCAGCGGAGAGTTAGTCAGCCATAAAAATCGAGACACCAAAATTTCTATTTGGTGTAGATCAGATTTATACTCACGAACTTTCAGTCTAAGTCCGAGAATTAACTATTAGGCTACGACGCTTTCACAATTATCTACTTAAATATATTTACCGTCACATATTAGACAATGACAATGTACAGTGTATCCTCAGCTAACATTACACATACGATCGATAATCCCAGGAGATATATGAGCAAGATAAAGTCGCGGCTGTCGGCTCACCTTGTAGCTAGGAGGATTACAAACAGTGATCACTGTATGCTTTAAGAGATTACCTATTAGTCACTCCAAAGGGGTTTAAATTAACCTACAAATAGGGCTGCTAACATTAAGAAATTTAATTTTACTATACACGAGTAGGAATGTAGTGAAAAGAAGAAAATGATTGACTGATGTATCAACAAACGGTCCAAATCGCTAAAATTAGAAATGTACTGAAATTCTTCATAAAACATTTCTTCTATAAGTTATCTATATATACATTGAACCAAAAGTATTCATTTTAATTCCAACTATTAGTGTACTGCTATGTATATTGTAATCTGGCAAATCCAAATCGTTTTAAATTTAGAAATTTTCAGGATCTATTCCAAAAATAATATATCCAAAACTGTTGCTATTCAAAATGACAGTGTTCAACTCAACACTACCTTGCTTATCGAACAATTTCGGAAACTTACTACTTATTGCGTTTAATTTGACAGATTCCAAAAAAAAAAGTATATGCCAGCCCAAGGACTGATTGTATCCGGATATAAATACAAAAGCCGATGCTTACAATATACGGAATTAATAAACAACACGACATTACCTACAGCGACAGTAATAAGATGTGACGATGACAATGAAACATGTCGTGTTCCTCGGAAATTATGGGAACATTAAGATTTCTTCCCGTATAATGAAATAGCGTCTTTTATTTGTCGTAAATGGAAAACGTGAGAATAATGAGCGATGATGTTTCGGTTCATTTTTTATTCACAGAAATAGGGATGGAAATGTAGGTGCATATACTTTGATTGACCAATATTTATTCCGTTAGATTTTAAAATCATTACAACTATGAATTATATTTTTTTATGTATGACCGGGATTGTCATCCCGGATAACACAAAAATCAGGCTCATGTGATAATGAATAATAAACGTCGCTTATACATACGAGTATATGTGGAAAACACCACGAACGTCACCATGTGAGGTCCACTCTTGTGTTGCTATTTTGGAGGACTAAATTGTCTTGCTTCCATGCCCTGTAATTTCACCGTTTTAACTCTATTTTCGGTCAATATTTATTAAAAAATGGTTGGCGGCACATGTTTCAATATCTATCATATATCATGTGAGACAGAAGTATTTACGGAAGACTAAACAAATAAACCTTCTAAAAACGAAGGAATCCTTTAAATAATAAAACCGAGTCAGATCGGTTGCGAGTTTAAGAAAATTGTAAGTAGCACCTACTGCAAGACGATACTAACAAATAATAATTACAACAAATAATGTCTACATATTAACGATCCATTTTTTTTAGAATGAACATGTAACTTCGAAGAATTCTATTTCACATTTTATATATCTGATATGGATGAATGGACATGCATCGCAGTACCTATGTATACATCTATACCACACCTATGTATATTTGCGATAAGTCGAATGCGTCCGACAGTTGCAATCTCGATTGAAACTAGATCTAGTTACGTCTATACTTCCGGAGCTGTCATAAACTAGGTCGTCGATTCTATTCCCCGCTTATTGATTTGAAGTGAATGCTTGTGCCGTAGTTTGTGATACGAATGCATTAATGAAAATAAATATTATTTTCTCTAAAACCTTTTGTTATGTCAATGTGTAAATTAAAATAAATTTTGAATCAATGAACAACTGAATGTGGTACAATATATATACTGTAAAAAAAAACGTAACAACATATAAATGAAATTGGACATGGATGTAATTCAACCAGTATCTAAATATTATCCTTATAATATTCTTGACTATCACGTTTATACTAAAGAAATATAAGTAGGGGACATCCGGGATAGCTTGATATGAAATCTTTATATCGGTTACGTACGTAATAGAAAAATAAATAGAAGACCAAATAAACCCTATCAATTGCAAACAGAAAAATCGAAATTTTGGCGAAGATATCATAGAATACGCACGTAATAAAAAATATAATAAAATTACATATTTGGAAGTTAGTTGAATATAGGACACGAGTATTTACCGCCAAAAAGCCCCAAAGGATTGTCCTTCGTCTGCACAACTGTACCCTCAAAACTGATTTAATCCCATGGCTATACCCATCCATATTATTTACCGTAAAAATTTAAAATGTACACCCCATTACACTGTGTAGTCGCACCTGAGTTACATTTTAGATTACATGAATACATTATTTGGTCCGTTTCACCGTTCCGACGAAGGTTTATGGGCGAACAGGTGCTAGACCCAGGAATGTTTTATCAAGAAAATTAAAGTTTTCTAGGTATCTGTTTTGAGGTGTACGCATAACAGACAATTTCAATATTCCACATTCACTCATGTTATTTAATGCTGAATTTAAATACTTACATATGTCAAAACGTTTTACATAAATATATTAAAAAAGGTTAAATTATAAGGATACTTTTATGGCTGTAAAAAATTACCATAAATAGTACTTTTATCCAGTTCCAGTAACGTAACGAAATGTTTGCACATAATATATCTAAAACAGTCGAAAATAAATTGAAAATTATTTTTATTTTGTCATTTGTCGCTAAAAATATATTGTGAGTCATAAACAGAGGAGAAAATATGTGTAGGTATACTGAAGCGTGTTACATAAATAATTTCCTTGAGGCAACATCCTCACAGGACGTTTGCGTGCAGTCAACCTAATTTCCTTTCAAGACATTTACTGTCTACGACGAGGAAACAATGTTGCTACTGAATAATAGTGGTCTTAGGAATGAATCTGCCTTTGTGATCAAGTTACAGAATAATTTAAAGTTAAAACGGCAAACTTAATGAGAGTGATAGTTATTTTATATATGAAAGAGAAATGGCAAGTAAATAGATGGAAGGTAGTAACCGTCACAAAGTATGTTACGACTACTATAAGTTGTAACACAGTAAAAATTTACGTTTCCCACTTTGTATCTCATAAAGTCACTGTCATATCTCAGCGTTCACCCGCGATATTATCGTTGAAAGAGGCACCCACGCAGACAAATTTCTACAAAGTTCGAGTACTTAATAGTTAAATACATAAATATATAACATAATCTTTCCTAAATTTTCCCAAGATAGTACAGTACTACCGTGTGAACAGTTGAAACAGAATGTATAATGTATATACGAGGGTTGACAAGACAAGGATAAGTGACCTACATGATTTTTAGTCTGGTATCATTGTTCCCATTACCGGAAAGTCAATCAAAATACAAATTTATATACAATGGTTATTTGATATCGACCAGACTCGAATTACGATCATTCGGACTAAATCCGGCTAATTATGAAGCTCTTCATACGACAAAATTTGTATGTAAATTACATTTTAATTAATGTCGTAACTCAACTGATTGTTACTTTGTTCCAGGACGGCGATGTGATAGAACTGTGCCAAGTCAGCGATGTGAGGTCGGGAGGTGTTCCATTAAAGGTAAGGATAATGATAACGTTCCACGGGCGCTACGCGTGACGTACTCCTTGCAAACCTTTGATAATGTTTCCTGATGCGAAACAAAATCGTCAATGAAATGAAAACGGCATGCTCCAATGGCCTAGAACAAATTAATGAGATTGTTTGTTGTAAACACGAGACTTAAGACTTAAAGTCATCAAATACGAAATAAGAAATATTTATGAAGGCATTATGAGCAACTTATTATTTTAAACAATCTTAAGTATATTTTTTATTCAGCAAACCAACCATAAAGAATTGTTTGGTAAATATATCAACAAATATTAAAACGCAACAAAAAGAGTTTTATAGGTCAAAATTAACATTTCCAGGGTTTTCTTCCCAGGTCCTACCCACTTTTAGATTTCATTAAATATTAATTTATATAGGCAATCGCATATCACTATCTACATCTGCATTTGTATATATGTTTAGATTTTGTTTTCTATACCTACTCCATAACACTGAGAAGTGAATAGAAAAACTACTGGTCGTATTTTGATGAAAGATGCCTACAAGAAGCCTAAAAGAGAAACGCCAGCTTTTAAACAATAAAAGAATTAGCAAAATAACAAAAGATCAGGTTGAGAATGTTTGAACACAAAAATTACAATCGAATTGAAAGCCTCCTTTTTGAAGTTGGTTGACAATTTATGAACATTCTTTATTACTTTTTTAAAACATATACTATTATTTTTCTTCTTTTAGGAGTCGAAATTGAGCTCCAGCCTTCAAAACAAACACGGTGAAAGCTTAGAAGATAAGTCTCTAACTATATGTAGTGGCACAGATTACATCAATATCAATTACCAGCACGTTGTTTGTCCTGATGCTGCCACCGCTAAGGTTAGTGACTATTATCCTAATCAGGCATTACGCTATTAGGCAATTAGTCGATAAACTATTGCTACTAAAACGTATTTATAGTGCGGTACTTTGAACTAACTGACCAACTTGTTACTTTTAAAAGTTTCACTAGTTCCATCCATGCAGTATAACAACTGAACCACTGCTTTAGAAATGTTAACTACTATAAGAATATTAGATATTAGTAGTATATTAATGTTAGTGAATTGTAAGTGTTATATTATATCAATTTGATATTAGTTTTTTTTAAGTATAGAACAATAAGGAAATACCGTATGTAATATCTTATACATAGATTCTACATTACAATTTTTCAAACTTCGTATTTATTGGTTTGACTGTAGATGCAGTCTTTATTAATAAAATATTCCATACATATATAGATCCTTTCATTAGAATTTCTTATAAGTATGCAAGATAAAGGACTGGGATGGAATTTAATATGTTCTTAATCTAACAGTACATTTAATTAAAAAAATATCAGCTTCTGGACCTTTCTTTATAGATATAATGATATTTCTAACTAATATTCAGATATTGAATTTACTGCTGATGTTAAAAAGATCAATTGTAAAGAAGTTGAAAGTATACATCATATATAAATGGAAATGACGACTGAATGGATGGATGTACGAAAGATGATTTAGAAAACTGTTTAAGTATGACGCCTAATCAGGCGTCATACTTAAACCATACTTAAGAGGAAGACATACTGCGTTACCCTTGATTTAATACGACAAATAGCTAGGTGTTAATAAATTATTCTTTTTTTATATAATATAATACTAAAATTGTTAAAATTCCCAACGCTTTCAAAAGGTCTGGTTGGAAGGTCTAAGGAGGATCACACACAATGTAAAAGCCAACAACGTTTGCCCCATGACCTGTTTAAAGAAACAGTAAGTCTCTGGCATGTTTCAAATGAAGCATGGCTTACAAGAGTATCAGTCTTAACTTGGTGTGTGTAGTCGATGTTAGGTTTGGGTTTTATTGCGATACTTTAAATGGCTTGCATACCTTTTAAGTTTTTATAATTTTGTGTTGCGTGTGACTTGCGCATTATTTTGTAATATATTTGTTTTACAATATAATATTATAAACCCGTTATTAATAATAACTAAAGTTGCTTACAAATTTATTTTAATTATTTAATCACTTTTTTCTAATAATGAAAATAGCATGAAAGAAAATCATGAAACATTTCAATAACTAAAATAGATTTGGATATGTAGAATTTATATCGAATCAAATACATTGGGGTCAATACATACAAACTTGACACCCGATTTTAATGTTTAACTGTTGAACAATAATTTCTAAAATAAGCGCAAGTCATGTGTGTAGTACGTAAATGCATGTTTATTTCTTTCCTTATTTGCTTTTTGCCAAAGGTGTGGAAGGAGGGTCTCCGTGCCATCACTCACAACAACAAAATCAACAATGTCTGTCCAAGGACCAACTTAATGAAACAGTACGTAGAAATTATACTTTGTGTCTTCCCACTAACACTATTTGTATACTTTATTCTTCAGATATTGCAGTCTCTGGTTAAAACAACGCTGGCAAAACTTGAAATGATCAGTGATATTACCCTACGTTTATAAAATAGGTTGTAATAGATTGAAAAACGACCACTCTTCGCTTTATAATGAAAAATAAGCATCGATTTTCTCGCCCTTTCATTTTTCTATAGATAATAATATATTTGTTGAATGTGATTGTATTTTTCTTTGTGCAAAAGTATGAAGTGTGTTGGTATCATAGTTTTTAAAGCATTCTGATTTTGTATAGTAAAATGTTTTATGATGTTTGTGGGATATTCGTATCTTTAATGCAACGGTTTTAAATCTTTTAATAAGGTAGCTTGATTAATGAATAAACGGGATGATGTTAGATTGACCTTAATTTTAAGATTGTTATAGGCTTCATCACGGCACTTTAAAACAAATACAGTAACCTTAAAAAATTAACAACTTGCGGAAGCTACTTCATTTTATTACTGTATTTAAGTATTAAAAGAAAGGTTTTTATAACATTTCCGTTCACTGGTTTACAAGTGGATATCTGTGGAAATTAGATAACAGTTTTACAAAATTTTAGCTAAACTTCTATGAATATATTTTCCAGAATTTCTCATTAAAGGAATGTAATTAACTACAATAGTGTCTGCAGTTTCTACCACACCCCTAGCTGCTTTAATTTACCAGCAGCAGTTTGCACAGTGTGCCCCAGTTTAGTTGAGTTTATAGTTCACGCTGCAATATACACTGTTTGCCTGACATGGCCTATAAATACATTACACTATCCTTTGACAAAGGCCTTTAGCAGAAATTATTGGATATTAGCTTTACCTTTTACCTGTTTTCCGGACCATAAATAAACATTGAATAGTTTGAGGTTTAATATTAAGTAGATATTTTATTTTAATACTGTACCTATATATGGACTTTGCAATAAAAAGGCAATAGTTACTTCATGAACAAACCAAATCTTTAGACTACCGAATCTGATTAGGATAGAATATCATTAGTTCGAAATCTTTTGGTTCTTTGTGTCAATCCACGTGTTAATTAGAAAGTCCATATGATAGTCAGAAAAGAAAAACAAAAATTACGTATTTGAAATTACAAACAAATTATTATTTAAAATAAGTAAATATGAGAAATTTATTATATTATATTTCTTTTCATTATGCATTTTAGGACGTAGATACATACATGAATAGCTAGCTTGGTAGATACATTAAAACATGTTTCAAATGATCTGCAATATCATTTTCTGAACTGAGAAATTGAGTGTCCAAATCCAAATTTTTATTTTGTAGTTCAATTAATAAAAATAGTTAATATAGCTTTTATTGCTTGTAAATATAGCTGCGATTTCAGTAAATGTTCGGCGCTTAACAGTTTATGCTGTTATTTTATAAAGTTTAATGTGTCTGGAATATCGATGTCTGTTAAAGGATAAACTTGAAACAATTTTTTTGTGATCTATATTAAGCGTTATGATAGGTACTAAGTTATGTACGGATAGTAAACGAGTAGTGTGATTTTAATATGTCGATTTAAAACAAAGAAACTGGTAGTAATAGTATATATAGGACATGCTATTGCTAGGTTCCTTACGAAGATTGTTGTGAATACTATCATTAATTACGCGTATTAAGATTTTGGCAAATAATCTAAAGAGAATTAATCGTTTTTTATGACCGTCAATATTTTGAACATAACAAGCTTAATCTCTACATTTTTTCATAATTAAATAAATTTCCTCCCCAGTTGGATGCGTCTTTGTTTCCTGACTGACCCTCGCGGTAAGGTGCCTGTGAAGGTGGTAGCGAGAACTTTCGCCTCAGGCAAAACTGAGAAATTAGTTTATCAATGCCTATCTGAACTGGGTCTTCCATCAGGCAAGAATGATGTAATGGAGAAAGAAGCATTCACCTTTGACAAGTTTTATGCTTTATACCATAAGATTTGTCCAAGAAATGATATTGAAGAATTATTTAGATCCATGTAAGTACTAAATAATTTTCCGAAAAAAATTGTAACTTCATTTCTAAGAGTATTAAGATTAAGTGCAAATCCATTCAGTAACCAAAGAATCACGCAAATCGGCTTATAAATTCCTGAGGAATCGATGTCAACTTATTTTATACATCCAGAAAAGTAGAGATCCCGTCGAACCTATAATCTGCTTCTATTTTGATGTTGCTTAAAAAACAAATGTCTACTTGTATTATTATTGTATTATACTTGTATTATAATCATAGTGACTACTGTTATATTTACATAAACATTAGTATTCACGTATACATATTTCAAATAAAAAAATACAATGATTTCTATTAGATAAAGTATTTCATTCGTATCTTTATATTTAATAATCCAACATTTTTTCTACATATTTCAAGCCTAATCATTATAATTATTGGATAATCGACCTTAATGCAAGAGGTTAAAATTGTATTTCCAAAATTTATAAATTTTACATTTAATCAAGTGAAATATGTAAGTAAAATAATTCTATTATAGTACTCAAGGCAAATCAGATCAAATCAACCTGGACCAGTTCGTCTATTTCCTGAATGAAAAACAAAGAGACCCTCGACTGAATGAGATCCTATATCCACTATACGACGAGAAGAGAGCTGCAGAGATTATCAATACTTACGAACAAAATGAAGATGCTAGAAATGCAAGTAAGTGACTTTATGATCATCTCAAAATCTGTGTCTGTAAAATATTAGACATACTGCTTATTATATTAAGTCTAACAAAAATTGCTACATGTTTTTAATGTAAATTAAAATACATGTAATGCGCAAAAATATATTATTATCGGCACAAAATTGACACATAATCAATCAGATCTATATATCTGATTGATTGGATCGATCCACAGCTAGATATAAACAAATTGATTTAAAATTCTATTGTGTAGTTTCCCTTGTACAATAAACGAACAATCTGATCGAAACTAATCATAGACTGTAAAGTCTGTGTAAAGTTCTCGGTCTGACCTACATATTTCAGCAACCAAGCAGCTTGCTTTTTAAGTTGTATTTTGGTTGTAGCGATACTTTATTTATATTGATATTTTAGTCCTTTGGAATGGCAACGTATGGGTATCGCAAGTGTAACATTATAACATGATACACTGTTCATGTATACAGGCGACGGTTACCACTTACAATAACGTGGGCCGTCAGCTTGTTTGCCATTCAAATTTAGTTGTTCTTTTACTGATTTATTATAGAAAATAAATCAGTAAAAGAACAACTAAATGTGAGTTTTAATATAATAGTGCTTGCTTGTTTATTATTATCTGAACTTCTTTTGTTTTCTACTGTACATAGACAATTAAGTAAATTGGACTACATTAAAAATAATCCACTCTCAACTTAATTATTTTTAGGGAAAGGAAATTAAAGAGCCTATCGCTTTGTTACTTAATACTTTGCTTGGAATAATTGAGCACCAGCTCCCCTCTTATTGTCGTTTTGCATAGAAGATGCTTTATAAGTCATTTACCTAAAACGGACTAGTTAGACACTATTTGAAAACTAATATAAGGGGAAAAAATCACGATATGTATAGTTTGTATATATATTGTACCTACGCCTTCATGTCTTAAAAGCTTAATTCTAAAAATTATATTAATTATCAAATTATTAATATTTATAAATAAAACCACGTGGAATTGTTCCATTCCAATCCAATTCAACCATTTTAATTCCTAACAAGCAACTTCATACCACAAATTTTTAAAACATGTTTGATTGGACTTATATTTTTAATGCCTCATTTTTTAAGTTTTGGTATTGACGTATAAAGCTTTAATAGTGACGTATATACTTGCTTCCCTTTTACAGAATGCCTCACAAAAGATGGTTTGATCCGCTACCTCATGTCTGATGAAAACGCCCCTGTCTTTCTGGACCGGCTGGATAACTACATGGATATGGACCAACCTCTAGCTCACTATTACATAAATTCGTCACATAACACCTATTTGTCAGGAAGACAATTCGGCGGAAAGAGTTCAGTTGAAATGTACCGACAGGTCTTGTTGGCTGGATGTAGGTGAGTCCTTTGCCCAAATGTTTTATTTAATATTGTAACGAACTACTTGCCGTCAAACTACTTAATAATACGAAATGTACTGCAATAGTAGTATATACCCACGACCTCGTGTGTGAATATTTTGAGACCCCACGTATTGATGATAATTAGACGAAAAAAATAAGACGTTTAAAAACGATGTGACATGAGAATGAGATCTAATTACTGTATACCTAACCTTTATCGCGGCTTCATGTTCCTTATTAACCATACTAAACTTGTTTTTATTATATCCAACCAAATAACGATCAACTAAGGTGACAATACGTAATGCCCATCCCATAGAAAACTCATGTATAAAAATGGTCCGCCTAAAAATCAATCATGTAAACAACTGTATGCATTATGGCGTATTTATAAGTGGTACTTCAAAACATACTATACATATATATTGAGATGGACAATTAAAAATAAATGTGCTTGCTAAATTTCATAATACCCGCTACGTAGTTTCAAATTTGAAACTTCTGTAAAACGGCATAGAACATCAAATCGGTTCAATAACCAAGTAAATGTTGAAACTTCCCAAGTGCTTACCGTGGCAATTAATAATCCATCACTTGAAACTTCGCGGTTGTTCGACGTAATCCAGGGACCGGTTGAAACTCGTGAAATAATCGACTCTAATAACAAGCTGATTAGATCAATTAAGAAAATAAAAGCCACGCGAATGTTGGTATATAGGGCTATTTCAACTTTCTTACAAGTAAGGGAATGTTTTTTTTCTTGAATATAAATACTTAGTTTACAAATATAGACACATAGGTTATAAATTTTATACTATCTAATATAAAGCCTGTATTCACAAGCAATCCCTAAGAAAACCAAACTGCCGTCAAAAAGATCATTATTGAAAAGGACCATAAAAGCATTCGTGAATATCATACAAACTGAATTACAAATTGTATATAGTAATAATTAATTGTAATAATAAGTAATTGTATTTTATAGTACAAATTGTATTTCATAATATCATAAAAACCCCTGAACTACTGAACTGTAGTTGTTATAATCCTTACTAATATTATAAATGCGAAAGTAACTCTGTCTGTCTGTCTGTCTGTCTGTCTGTCTGTCTCGCTTTCACGCCAAAACTACTGAACCGATTTAAATGAAATTTAGTACGCAGATAGTCTAGACGCAGAGGAAGGACATAGGCTACTTTTTAATGCGTAAAAAGGGTTGTAAGGGGTTCAAAATGGAAATACAAGGTTATCTTTATGCGGTTGAATCCTTATTCGTCATCTTTTCATTTCACTAGCTAACAACCAATCAACACATCGCGTGCGTTTGGGCCATTCGCCATCTTTTCATTTCACTAGCTAACAACCAATCAACACATCGCGTGCGTTTGCGCCAATAAGGTATCCATCACAGAGAACAAAACCACAGATAACATAATGTAAAACGAAACATCTTGCCGGAAACATGACGTTGACGTTTAGTGAAAATATTGTTTTTTGACACTTTTTTATGATAAAATCGTATATCGTGTGTATGTGTTTTTTCTTTAAACCTGAAATTGGCCGATTGCGAGACAAATTTGGCGATTTTTTTTATTAATTTGTTTTACGGCTCTGGATACAAGCCCAGTTTAGCCCAACTTAAAGTTTTACAATATAAATTACAAAAATTAAAGTCAATGTCCAATGTTGAATAATAATAAATGACAAACTTAAAAAAAAAATTTAATAACAATCACAATTTCTTCACATTTTATTATTTACATTTTTTAAAGAATGTTGTGGTGTGGCACTATCCGAAATTAAATTATTTACTCATTTTTGTAGGTTATACAGAAATAATGTGTGGGTGTTTATTTAAAAAGCATTAACACAAAAATAATAAAGTATAGGTATTAATAAATATATGGTTGTTGTATCAAAATAGAATTTTCTTATTTTTCACTAAAATAAAAACTAACTGTCTTTTTTATAAAATAAATGACCTTTTCATTGTGCCATATATTATGGAACTATTTAAATTATTTAGCTGATTGTAAGAAACAAAATGTTGGTTTGTAGATTAATACTGTAAAATTATTATTTGTACGGAAACAATAAAAATATATTTTTGTGCTGCGACAAAAACTAATATTATAAATGTGAAAGTAGCTCTGTCTGTCTGTTTCGCTTTCACGCCAAAACTACTGAACCGATTTGAATGAAATTTGGTATACAGATAGTCTAGAACGGACCTGAGAACGGACATAGGCTACTTTTTAATGCGAAAAAAGGGTTGTAAGGGGTTAAAAGGGGGGATGAAAGATTGTATGGAAGAATCGTCATTTTTGAAGCTAGAAGCTTGAAACTTATTTTTGAGGCTGTTGATTAAATATAAATAAAAATGACATTCAATGTTTGTAAAAAATTACCGTTAAGGGGGTAAAGTAAAATAGGGGATGCAAGTTTTTATGTAAATTCGTCATTTTTGAAGCTAGAAGCTTAAACTTATTGTTGAGACTGTTGATTAAATAGAAATACATATGACATTCATTGTTTGTAAAAAAATTACCCTTAAGGGGCTAAAATAAAATAGGGGATACAAGTTTTTATGTAAACACGTCATTTTTGAAGCTAGAAGCTTGAATCTGATTGTTGAGACTGTTGATTAAATATAAATACATATGACATTCATTGTTTGTAAAAAAATTAGCCTTAAGGGGGTAAAATAAAATAGGGGATGCAAGTTTTTATGTAAACACGTCATTTTTGAAGCTAGAAGCTTGAATCTTATTGTTGAGACTGTTGATTAAATATAAATACATATGACATTCATTGTTTGTAAAAAAAATACCCTTAAGGGGGTAAAATAAAATAGGGGATACAAGTTTTTATGTAAAATCGTCATTATTGAAGCTAGAAGCTTGAAACTTATTTTTGAGGCTGTTGATTAAATATAAATAAATATGCCATTCATTGTTTGTAAAAAAATCCCTTAAGGGGTAAAATAAAATAGGGAATGCAAGTTTTTATTCAATTCGTCATTTTTGAAGCTAGAAACTTGAAACTTATTTTTGAAGCTGTTGATTAAATATAAATAAATATGACATTCATTGTTTGTAAAAAAATTACCCTTAAGGGGGTAAAATAAAATAGGGGATGCAAGTTTTTATGTAAATTCGTCATTTATGAAACTATTTTCATTGGTTCTTTTGGGGTAGATTTTTAAATACCCCACTAATGTTATAACTGTGAAAGTAACGCTGTTTGTCTTTCTGTCAGTCTTACGCTCCAAAACAAAATAAAAATTTAAATGAAATTTGGTACACTGTTAGTTTACACCCGGACAAAGAATATAGGGTACTTTTGAATGTGAAAAAAGGATTGTAAGGGGGTTGCAATGGTACGCTGTATGGAATAATAGTCATTTTTTAAAACTAGAAGTTTGAGACTCATTTTTAGGCTGTTTTTTAAATATCAATAAATATGACATTCAATGTTTGTAAAATTTTTACTCTTAGGGGGAGGGGGGTAGTACAATAAAATAGAGAATGAAAGTTATTGTGGAAATTTGCTGTTTGTGTGGTTGTGGAAGCTAGAACGATTAAACTTTTTTCTTTGTCTTTTTAGGGTTAGTTTATTAAATACCTTACTGATATTATAAATGTGAAAGTAACTTTGTCTGTTTGTCTCGCTTACACGCCAAAATACTGAACCGATTTAAATTGAAATTTGAAACAGACATAGATAGACTAGATCCTGAGAAAGGACATAGGTTACTTTTTAATGTCAAAAAGGGTTGCAAGAGGATTGAAAGGGTAGATCCAAGGTTATATAGATGTATCGTCATGTTTAAAGCTAGAAGCTTGAAATTTATTTTTTAGCCTATTGATTAAATATTTATTTTTACTTTTTATCATTTTTGAAGCTAAAAATGTATGAAATGATGTATGAAACGATGAAACTTATTTATTTGACTTATATTGTGTTAATTGAGTTAAATATTTTTTCATTATTTACGCGGACGAAGTCGCGGGTACAGCTAGTTATATAGAATTTTTATTTTAATATTTAATATAATATTGTTAGGCTCTGTGCCTATACAGCCATGCCATGGACGTCACAAAATAATTATAAGAATTTAGTTACACTTTTTATATATGTGTATGTACATCATATTTACTGAAATTGCAATACTGAATACAGATGAAGAATTGAGGAAGGAGTAAGAAGTGGCTATACTTCTTACTCCTTCCTCATTCCCTTGGGTTTTTTTCTTTTGTAATGCAAAAAGCATTAAATTTATAATCCAATTTTTTATGACTCTAGACCATTTGCACTTTTACAGTTACTACTTTTCCATTGTGCGTGAATAAGTCAGTTTATTGCTATTTTTATGTTATATCCTTAGAGTATGCTTGCATTGTAAGAATCATATCCAGGTTCCGCTGGACGGTCTGTATCAAAAGTGGAGTTCAATCGGTGTGTTACACACCCCTACACCCCGTCTTCTTTGGAAATGCGCCAATTAAATTTCCTTTTAGCATGGATGGTGTTTTTTGAACCTTATGACGTGAGACTACTCTTAGACATAATTAAAAAAATAATTGAATGAGTTATTTTTTCGGCACACAGATGTGTAGAACTGGATTGCTGGGACGGGAAAGGCGAAGATGAAGAACCAATCATCACCCACGGAATGGCAATGTGCACAGATATTCTTTTCAAGGATGTTATTTACGCTCTACGAGACACGGCATTTGTAACGTCAGATTATCCAGTCATTTTGTCGTTTGAGAACCATTGCTGCAAAGCCCAACAGTACAAGCTAGCAAAATACTGTGATGAAATTCTTGGTGATTTGTTGCTGAAGGAATCAATCGCTGAATATCCGGTGAGAATTTATTTGTAGATATATATTCATCTGTGAAAATATTAACCTACCTTTAGTTTCTCTTGGATTATTATTATATTTTTATAGAACCAGGTTAATCCGATCTGTGATTGTTATCTAGAGAATCACAGTACTCACTACGTTTCAAAAAGACATATGCAACTATGCAAGACAGTTTTGAAGGGTTTTACGAGGAAAATTGGAATAAAAGAATTTTACGTCTTTACAGAACAACTATTATATTTAGACAGCCCTAGTGACACCCTTTTAAAAAACAAAAAAACAAATTAATTTCTTCTTTTTTACACTCTCTTCTAATTTTCACACGCGTGAGAATTATTTCTATAACTACAGTACATGATACACTCTACACTACGCCACTTCGCCTTAACAGAGAGAATTTATGTTTATCAAACTTTATTTTATTTAAGGCTTTTGTAAATATATCTGCTATTTGCAGTTCTGTTGGACAATAATCAATGCTAAATTCATTATTAATATACAATTCATGGATATAGTGGTAACGAACATCTATGTGCTTAGACCGTTTATTAAATACGCCCGTCTTAATCAAAGCAATAGCACTTTGGTTATCTATTTTAAATAACACGTCTTCTGGTTTAGCGTTTAGTTCGCCTAAAAGCGTCTTGATATACATAGTATGTTTGCAGCACTCTGCTGCCGCAATGAACTCCGCTTCTGTAGAAGACAATGCTACTATAGGTTGCCTTCTTGAGCACCAGGCAATTGGTCCATCACCAAGTTTAATAACATATCCTGTAGTACTTTTCCGAGTTTCTAAGTCACCCGCATAGTCAGAGTCACAAAATGATGTTAACTTAAGATTGGAATCGAACCTGTAACACAAACCATCCTCTATGGTACCGGAAAGGTATCTAAAGATTCTTTTAACTGCTACTATGTCCCTTTTCTGAGGATTCTCCATATTTCTACTAGCTTTATTGACAGCAAACGCTATATCCGGTCTAGTTCTTGTTGACAAATATAGGAGACTGCCTACAGCTTCTCTATAAGGGTACATCAACTTTTCCTCTTTGTCACACTCTACTTCTCCCTCTCCTGCGGGTGTCTGGGCATGTTTGCACTTATCCATATTAAACTTCTTTAAAAGTGATTTGGTGTATTCAGTTTGTGTTAGATGCCATCCTACATTATCTGCTTTTAATTCCATACCCGAATACCACTTAGGTTCAGAACACGATGTAATCTCGAATTTCTCGTTTAGTCTAAACAACAACTGTGTTAAGTCTTCTGCTTTACCAATGATTAGTCCATCGTCAACATATATAGCTAAAAGAACTGACATTTCTTGATTTTTATAAATACAAGGTTCGTTTCTTACTTGACTAAATCCCAATTCTTTTATTTTTTCGTAAAATTTTTCATTCCACCTTTTTGGAGATTGTCTAAGTCCGTATAACGACCTCACTAATTTAAATACTTTATTTTTAGAATCGCAATGAACTCCCTTAGGAATTTTCATATATACCTGTTCATCATCACGCAACTTACCATTGAGAAAGGCTGTTTTTACATCAAACGTCATAATATTGTAGTTTTTAGCTGCGGCAATGGCGAACAATGTTTTTATTGCGGTCTGCGATGCAACTGGACTAAATATATCGTCGTAGTCTACGTCTTGTTGTTCATTACCTCTTACGACTAATCTTGCTTTGTATTTACCATCTTCTTTAATTCTGAATACCCATTTATTAGTTAATATTTTATGACCATATTATTAAGATTGATCTACTATTTTCCAAACATTATTTTCTTCTAAAGAATTTAGTTCACTTTCGATTGCCCTTTCCCACTTCTCTTTTTCAGGACTTTTTAATACTTCTTCGTAGGTTAGCAAAACATAGTCTTCATATTTTTCTGGTAGCTTTCTTGTCCTTTTTTCCAGACTTTCTTCTGGTTCTGTGTGATCTGTTATTTCTTCACAAGTAGATCCTACTACAAAATTGTCTTCAAACAATCGTGCGTTAATTTCCTCATTGTTCTCTTTTTCTATTTGATCTATTTCTTCTGTTTCATTGTTTATTTCAGTTTTTACTATTTTGTTATTTTGATTTTCCTTTTCATTTAAGTATGTATTTACATTTACTTTTTCTTGTTTTTGAATTACTTCACTATCATCATTTTTAATGTTTCTTTTTACAAAAGTAATATCTCGGGCTACAATAACTTTTCTTTTTATATCATCCCACAGTCTGTATCCATTATTTGTATATCCTATCATTCTATATTTTACTGCTCTAGCATCCAATTTCTTACTAGGTGGCAATATCTTTGCAAACGCATCACACCCAAATTCTCTAACATTCGAAAGATTTGGTAACCTTCCATACCATAGTTCAAAAGGTGTTTTATTATTTATTGATTCACTTGGTAATCGATTCAGCAGATATACACTGCAATAAAGAGCTTCGCCCCACATTTCTTTTTTCATTTCAGACATGTATAGCAAAGAACGAATCTTTTCGAGTATAGTTCTGTTTAGACGTTCGGCTTTTCCGTTTAATTGAGGGCAGTATGGTACAGAGTAGTCTAATTTTATTCCCTTTTTAATGCAGTAACTTTTAAAATTGTGTGAAGTATATTCACCACCATTGTCACAACGAATTGTAACAACTTTTAAATTGGATTCTCGTTCTGCTTCTGCAATAAAATTCTTTAAAAATGTTGTAACTTCGTCCTTAAATTTTAAGAGATACACTTTAGTGTAGTGGCTATAATCATCTAAAACAGTTAAAAAATATCTATAACCATTCCACGTTTCCGTTTGTAAAGGGCCACAAACATCTGTGTGTATTATTTCAAGTTTCTTACTGGCTCTAGTTCTTACGGTTTTGAATGGTAACCTTCGTTGTTTGGCTCTTATACATACTTCACAACTCGTCATCATACCTTTTTTATTTTCTATTTTTACGCCGTTTACTACATCAGGTAAAATTTTTAAAATATTCTCACCTGGGTGTCCTAATTTTCTATGCCAATTTTCAGCCGAGTTATCATTTTCTTCATTAGACAAGTATGCCTGTTCTTCAAATTTTATTTGTTTATCCAGTTTTACTACAAATAAGCCTGAATCTTCTTTTTTACCAGCTATTATTTTACCACAGCTCCGAATTTCTACGCCATGTCTATCAAATAATACGGTACCACCGTTTTTAACAATCTCTGGAACAGATAGTAAATTACAAGAAAGGTCTTGCACACATAAGACGTTCGTTACATCACATTCTGTTCCTATAAAATCACCTACATATTGCGATACCATAGTCGCATCTTTTTTAGCTATACCAACATCAATAGATTTGGATTTAATATTTGAGAGTAAAGTTTTGTCGTTGACCATATGTACGGTACAACCAGAATCAAGAACAAAATTTGTTCTCTCACTTATAACATTGTTACTTGCGGCTAAGAGCGCAACTTTATTTTCGTTTTTATTTTTCCGAAAAAAACAATCTTTTTCTTTATGATTTGATTTCTTACAAATTTTACAAAATAATAAATTCCTGCAAAATTTTGCTATATGACCAGTCTTATTACATTTAAAACACATTAGTAGAATACGAGCTAGATGCCTGACCGTTACCTGTATTTTTACGTATTCTACCTTTATTTTCAGCAGCTAGGGCCACTGATTGTATATTCTTATTTTTTCTTTCTTCTTCTTTTACTAATCTTATTCTTAAGTTCTTTAGCGTTCTTTCTTCTATAGGAGAACTTTCCCAAGCTGTTACGAAAGATTGAATGGTAGTTGTCTATATTTGAAAGAATGTTTAGTATTTTAGATTCTATCATTGCATCATCAAATGGCATTTTTAATTGTGTCAGTCTATGTATTAAATTTTCAAGCTTTGTAAAATTTTCATCCATGGATGTCATTTTCAAATTTATAGTTGTAAAAATCTTGAAGCAAATTCATTTTTTTCGTTCTTCTGTGCCTTCAAAAACATCACATAGTACCTTAAACATTTCGTATGCAGTTGTGCATTGGAACAATTGAGTTTTATGCTTTTTTGATACACTTTGCAGAATAATATGTTTTGTCATAGCGTCTTTACCTGTTTGTATTTTTTCCTCAGTATTGTCTGCATTATCGATATATTGTAATAGACCTTTTGCTTCGAGAAGAATTTTTATTTCAAATTTCCATAGCTGAAAGGAAGTGACATCGTCCAAAAGACAAATTCGGTGAATTTCTTCAGCCGTTGCGACTGCCATTTTTAATATTTTTACTGTTGTTCTACACTATTTTTATTTCTGTATTATTTATTTTTACTTATTATTTGCTCTGATAGCCCATAACCTGAAGTTTCACCTGCAATAAATCTCATTACATAAATTTTAATAAAAAATATAACCTATGTGTTATTCTGATTAAGCTATGTTACTGTAAAGTTTAATCATCCGTTTCAAAATCCGTTCACTAGTTTTTGCGTGAAAGAGTAGCACAAACTTTCGCGTTTCTAATATTATTAAGACTGTTGTCGTATTTCTACATCACAGTAATGCAAAGAAGGTAGTAGTGAATTGTTAGTAAAAATTGCGTTTCTCCCGCTATAACTTTTTTGCAAAATTTATTTTATATTATCATCATACATCATACATTGACGTTCTGCTCGGCATTATTTCAGTTGGATCCAGGCGTTCCACTACCACCGCCTTCGGCTTTAAAACGAAAGATCCTAATCAAGAATAAGCGACTGAAGCCTGAAGTAGAGAAGCAAGAGTTGGAACTGTTCCGCCAAGGTCAATTCGTCATTGAGGAAGAAGAGAAAGAAGATGCCTCGGCCATCGCTATACCAGATAAAAAGGTTGGTTGATAGTTATTTAATTCTTTTTTATGAAAAAAATAAATAATATTTGTTTACAAGATATATCATAAAGTATAAACGGAGGATGCAAGATATCTATACTCATATAGACTAGGATACAGAGTATTTGCTAGGGCAAAGTCGTTTCAATGAAGGGGCTTATTCTAATGATACTACCAATTTAAGATTCGGCCAGCAAACTGCTGTACTAAAAGAACAGCACTTTTGTGGCCTTACTTTAATTCTAATATATGTAGAATTGTAGGTAGAATACATTATACGCTGTCGGGGCTCCAGACAATAATAATTGGATGAAGATAAGAACGCATTGTGACGTATTCACTAAGAATTAACTTTTAGAACTCATTACTAAGAATCCTGTTGCGCAACGCATAAATCCTAATGAAAATCTGTTTAAAATAGAAATTACCTTATCACTCTATTATGTTTTTGCAGCCGGAAGAGATAGTGGCAGAAGCGGCTGTAGCGGGTGATGACGCGCCCCCACCAGTTGCATATACCGGATCCACTACCAATGTCCATCCTTGGCTTTCTTCCATGGTCAACTACGCCCAGCCCATCAAATTCCAAGGATTCGAAGAAGCAGACAGTAAGTCTCATTACCAATCTTGTAATTTTCATAATTTCTTTTATTTCATATTTAGTTCTTGTGAGTGGTGAAATGTGACTTCTGTTTGAATATCGATGGCACTGGGTACTACTATTGGCTTGGCAAGATGTTATACTGAATAAAAGCATTGATAACGAAATTCGTAATCATAAAATATCTCTCGTTATTTTTTAGGACATTTCTCATTCCTACTATTTCCTTATATTTTTTTATTATTCAAACTTTAGTAAATCGTAATAAAATTTCAAATGAGTTATCACATTTCTTCATGTACCTACTCGTATATTATATTCAACATAAAAAAACTTTTCACAAACTTACAATTCAATACCTCTTTTGTTCTACCAGAGCGCAACATTTACCACAACATGTCTTCCTTCGCGGAGACAACTGGCATGAACTACCTGAAAACCCAAGCCATAGATTTTGTGAACTACAACAAGCGCCAGATGTCAAGAATTTATCCAAAAGGAACACGCGCAGACTCTTCCAACTATATGCCACAGGTATGCACGGTGTCAAGATACTTTACAACCGTATTCTTTACTTTACAACTAAGTTTAGTTTGTATTACTTTCACGTAGTTAGGTTACCTATATGATAAGAAAAAGAAAAGAAGAGAAATTGAAATGCTTTTTAGTAAGTCTCCTGTTATAGGGTTTTGAATATCAGTCTTTATAAAATGCACTTTTTGGTTTTTTACCCCATATTTTCACCTTATATTAAAATATTGTTGAATTAAGATATTGGTAAGATAGAATAAATGAACATTAAATGTATATTTTTTTCTTCATACTAAATTTCGCCAGGGGAATTCCCTGTAAGGCACCTACCACAAGAATATTATCAATTTTTTTTTAAAGATCACATAAAAAAACTTTTTTAACAGGTTTTCTGGAATGCTGGTTGCCAAATGGTGTCTCTCAACTTCCAAACATCAGACCTTCCAATGCAGCTCAACCAGGGCAAGTTTGAATATAACGGCAACTGCGGGTACTTATTGAAGCCAGATTTCATGAGGCGTGCTGACCGGAGCTTCGATCCCTTCGCAGACGCTCCAGTGGATGGTGTTATCGCTGCTCAATGCTCGGTTCAGGTTTGTTTAATGTCAATATTTTTTTTAACCAAGTTTTAAATCAGGAGTGGCTACTACAATCTCCCTGTATTATCAACATAAGCCCTAAAGGTGGGACTTCTCCAAAATTCTACTACTATACCGTCTTGTCCATTTATACCGGAACTTGCACGGAAGAACTCAAATTACACAATGTCACATGGTTATAACAGATATAATAGTTATCACAGGAAGAGATTGTTAGTAATGTGGACTGTTGACCCCGTTGCTAGCAATGTGTCATGTCAGGTTGACCTCCACGCGGTTCCCCCTGGAAACCATCGTGATAAATTCTTGGTGAATTTGTCACGATGGGCTAACTGAGCTCTGACCTCATGCTCATCTTATCATCCTTCACTGGTGCCTCGCCAGTGTAAACCGTTAGCGCAGACGGGTGCACCATTCTATTATCATCCATAAAAATAATAAAAAAAGTTATCACATAAAGTTCATTTAATAGTAGGAAATATATGTAATATACTTGAATATTGAGATTTGCTAAAGATATTTCAGCATGGTATTTAAAAAAAAAATAAGATCTAAGGATCTGGCAACGCGCATGCCACATCTCTTTTAGCGCGTACTTGAGTCCAGTAACTAGATACTTATGATGTTTGTCACTACTGTTGTGTAAAAGGAATTTACATACCTACTTATCTACTTAAATAAAGAAACAATACTCATAAAATATGTATTATTAACATAAGTTCTACCTAAAAGGCTATTCATAGTTTCCTAACCTGTGAAGCCTTTTACTTATATCCCATCTTTAGAAAGTTCTTTCCAAAGTACTTTAAACTCAAATAAATCCTACTTATATTAAAGAAGATTGTCATTTAACAAAAAATTATGTAATGATAGATATTATTTCATTTGACTAGGTAATAGCGGGGCAGTTCTTATCAGATAAAAAGATTGGTACATACGTGGAAGTGGATATGTACGGGCTACCCTCGGACACCATCCGTAAGGAGTTCAGAACGCGCATGGTGCCTGCTAATGGGCTCAACCCAGTGTATAATGAGGAGCCGTTTTTGTTCCGAAAGGTAATTTTTTTATGTAGGAAACATTAGCATAATAAAACTCAAGTATGTCTGCCGCCGGCTTGTCACACATAATTATTTTCTTTCAAAATTTCTTTAGCTTATATATTGTCCCATATTACTAAAGAAAGCTGATAAGAATATAATATAAAAAGTATTCAAACTGTTTATAAACTTCATTATTTCATTTATGAATAATTTGGATACCCCACCAACAATTGTATTAATGGGTTTATTAATAAAATAATAGATAGCGCTCCATGCGCGTTAGTCAAGCATTGTGTAGCCCACTTTTAACTAAATATTAAATTGTCGTTTCTCTTCTAGGTTGTATTACCAGATCTGGCTGTTCTCCGTTTTGGAGTATACGATGAGAACGGAAAACTTTTAGGGCAGCGTATACTGCCGCTCGATGGCCTACAGGCTGGTTATCGGCACATCTCGCTGCGAACTGAAGCCAACTTCCCAATGTCACTGCCAATGTTGTTCTGCAACATTGAACTCAAAATCTATGTACCTGATGGCTTCGAAGGTGATCTTATTAGATATCTTGCTGTTTATTTAACAACAACATAAAAAACCACAAAGGTCGTGAATAAATGACATGAAAAAAACTACATGGAGTAAATTAGTCCAAGAGGTGTAAATTTAAACATGCTGTTATACATACTGACAGTTATCTCTGACTCCCCCTGATCTCCCTTCATAGGAGCACTAAAGCAGTTTTTTTTATATTTAAGAAGCCAGTCTTGTCCTGAAACATTGAATAACTAGACGTAATACCTATATACCATACTGTCTTAGTATAAAATATACTTACATGAAGTTAAATTTTAGTTGCGCTTAGTACCTTGAGCATAGGTCATTAAAATTAAGATAAACCACTGGACTAACCCCTCTAATTATGAGCTTATTTCTTTTATTGTATAGTATATAATACATTTCTACCTACTTTTAAAATTTGTATATATTTTAGACTTTATGGCTGCATTATCCGACCCTCGTGCTTTCATGGGCGCGGCGAAGGAACGAACTGACAACATGAAACAAATGGGTATTGAAGAAAGTGGCCCGGAAAAGAAGGTCCAGATTGAGGAGAAAAAAGAAGGTTAGTATTTATTATATCTACTTATATTTTTTTTATATTAGCAAGGCCGCTTCCCTTCCAAAGACTTGCTGACGATCTCTTGAGAAATAGTCTACCGTACCTGTCGCAATATGCGACGAATTTTTGAGATTTGTCATCACATTTTTAAATAGTCCAATCAATAATGTTTAATTAAATAAATATATAAATTTATAAGATGGTAAACGTGTAAATTTACAGATCACACATGTTTTCCTTTTTTTATGTTCCCTGTGACGCCCGCGTGTTCACTATATTCAGCCATACAAAGAGTTAATTTACATACTTTTAAATCTACTATTAGATTCGTATTGGTAGAAAAAATACAGTAGTTACGTTAAGCTTATTTGAATTATGTTGTTTCTATCGTTGTAGTTATAACTGTATAGTGACCATAGTAAACAACACATTAGTTAAGTTACAAGGTCATCAGCATTTTATATATGATTTTAACTAAGGGAGATACTTGGTACTATTCTAACCTTATCCACGGTGCGGAGGGGATTGTTGGTATGGAGACTGGAGTCCCATTGCTATCAAGCCACGTCAGGACTACCTCTACGCGTTCGTTCCTGGAAATCGTCATCATTAATACCCACGATCAACTGCCACGTAAATCGAAAGCGCATACATTGGTATACCATTGGATTATCATTCATTAATAAGCCCTAGAAGATCCACTTTACAGAAGGTCAAAGGACCAATGCCAATGTCAAAATGCCTAGGGTCAACCAGAGACGAATATTTTAGTACAAATATTTAATTTACTTAGTTAAGTACATACATTACATTTGTAGACAAATATATATACATGCATAGACATATTCAGATTGCCTGTTACACGGCCTACTAGCTTCCATCACCGATAAATAAATCTAGCTACCAACGCTGCATTATTACTTAAATTTCCATCGAAATGTGGGTACGTCGGAGATTGCGTTCACACAACATCGAAAATTGATGATTCATCAAACGTCGCCATCAACGGGTGTAAGGCCGCAATGACACTTTTTCTATTGTTAAATACAATACTGTTGCAGCTTGTTTGGACAAGTAAATCCTTTTTATAAATATTTATATTATTTCGAAACCTCATTTTTTATATTACTTAAAAGTAATATAAAAAATGAGGTTTCGACCTCTTTGCGAGCCGTCTTGGGAATTTTACGTGGCTACAAAATATTACCGTTTTTTAATAATTGTAGTGATCCCACTCCATTCACGCGTACAATAAATTTACGAATATAAATTGAAATTATAATATGTACATGACAGATATATGAGAAATACATACTATTATCGGTAGACTATCAACCTAAAACATGATTGTATATATTGATATGTGTATCTCAAAAACAGACAATGTTTTCCATAAAATTTGGTCCTTTATTCTAATCTGTTTACAAACAAAGAAATTATACGAGTACGATGATAGGACTATACGATGTCGCAGTCTAGTTAAGATATAAATGCAATTTAGATAATATTAACTACTAGATAATAATTTTCCAAATTTAGACAAGATAATCTTTAGGATCTAAATAATGCGTGTATTCGATACAATTGAAGAACGCGATAACTTTACATAAATTACATACCAACGGGATTGGGACGATGATAATTTTAAAACTGTTTACATTATTATTACCGTACTCTAAATAGCCGATGAAATCATAATTTACGTGTGCTTACGCCAAAAGTACGTCGGTATAAAACAGCTAACGAATGCGCAAATTCGACAGGAACGGGATATTTTAAGAATCCTTGCAATGATTGGGGATGGGTTGAGTAAGAAGACAATAGCGGGCTAATGATAATCTTATAGCGATATCTTCTCAAATTCGGTATTATAAATTTTTTGAAAAAAATTATACTGGGAAACACGAAATAAAAATAATCAAACAACTCATATGAATATTTTAGAACAATCATATTTTTTTTATTCTATCACTCATTCGAACGAGATAGAGAGAGTGGTTTATTTTTTATATTATTAAAATCTAATAAGCATTTTTACTTATATTTTTTTAATGTTGTCAGTGTTATGTACATATGGTTTGCAACAAAACTTACTTCTTTGAGTGCACATGTAACGCTTTAGAATAATGTAGATATTTAAAATTTAGTTTTGTAATAAATAAAACTAAAACAGATTATTAGAAAAGTATGATTACTCAATTCCTGTTCAAGGCGATAATAATAGGTAGGTATGTAAGTTGGTACTGCACCTATGGCATATAAAAAATCAAACGTCGTCTATACATAGATATAGGTATAGAAACTTTTCAGACCACCCATATATATAAAAATCGTTGTATATGTATAAATTAAAAACTTTTTTAATGTGGTTCTACAATCCACTCTACAGTAAAGCATTAATTAAATGTGTACTTTATTTTTTACTTTCTCAATTATTACCTAGTTATTTTATTATGAAACCTAAAGTAGACAAAATGCACCTAGTTATCATTGTTGTTCGATGTTCCCAATGATTTGCTTTTACGGCATAATCTGCATTTTTTGTCCATAGCAGACAATAAGTTTTTCACTTGCGCCAATAAAGTGAATATCAGTCATTTACTATTTAGATGTTACCATATGTATGCCATTAAAACAACATATTTCCTAGAAGTATGCTTGCGCAGTTATCGCTCTGAAGTTAGCTTCATTTAAATTTCCTTTAGACGTGAAAGTAGCCGAGGAATGGAAAATTCAGTATCAAGAGGAAAAACTTTCATATAAATGAAGTGTGAAATTAATATTGCTTCACATTTAGGTGATAAATTAAATTTGTGCGGAGATATTTGTTAATTATAATAAGTGTAGCAATTATGATGAGCCGAAAGAAAAGCGTAAAAGGTCAGATTATATTTAATATTTCTAAAAAGATTTCAAATTTCACACATGTTATATAGACAATTATAGATATATAATGTATCGTGAAAAACATATTTTCGCAATGTAAACCTAACTCATTCAAGCTATGAAACTAGTTATCTTACGGAGCCAATAGCAATAATTATTTTAATAAAATAAATAACTAATCATTTAATGATTACTTATTTATTTTATTATATAGATGCAACATTTAATTTATTTAATGGAGATTTATTAAGAGTGCTATAATCTGTACTATTATTAAAGAGAAAAAAAACAATGAAGTTTGTTGAAATAAATTCAATAAAAAAAAAATATTCCAGAACCACAGCGCCACAATGTTAATATATACCGGAGCGGTTATAAGACAAACCGAAGCGAGTCACTAGTTACAGATATAAACTATAGTATCCGCTTAATACAACGAGATATAACTAATTTCCATGAAATGAACCGTAAATCTCGTTGCCGTTTTCGTAGCAGATGTAGGTACCTACTAGACGTACTGCTATCGCTATCCGCATGTAAAACAGTTTATATAGTTGTATACATACATAGATACATAAATCGATTATAATAATAATAATAATATATATAATAATAGTATAAACAATTCGATCACGAATAATGATCGATCAAACGAACGCTCATAAATAATTATCAAAATATCATGTTTTTCATCTTTATAATATTACTATAGAAAAAGGGCGCACAAATAATTTCTCTTATTTTTAATAATTATAATTAATACATGATTATTATATACCTATATTAAATTTTGCCAACAGAGCCCCCTCTAGTCTTCGAGCCTATTACAGTAGAATCGCTCCGACAAGACAAAGGTTTCGTCAAGATTAGTCGTAAACAGCAGAAAGAACAAGAAGCGATGAAGAAACGACAAGCCAAAGAGAAAGTAGCCCTTCAGAAACAACAATGCACTGCACTTGAGAAAGTCATCAAAGGCAAAAGGTATTTGTTTTTTTAATAAATCATTTTGTCCTGACTGACTTGCAGTCAAATTGTTGACACAAGTCGTCATCAAACTGTCAGCCGGGAAATTGCCCGGACTTATACAGGTTCATAGAATACAATTTCAATGCAATTCAATGTTATCTACAGATACATTCACAGACCAAAAGTGTACGGAAGATTGTCTTACAAAACAAGTAAAAACATATTTTCATACTTTGTTATTTTTTTCACCAGCAAAGATCAGCTCAGCAACGATGAAAATCTCCGAAAGCTTGTCAACGAGCAATCAGTCGCTTGGAAAGAGCTCATCACTAAACACCGCTTCGAAGAGTGGAGCAACGCCAGAAGCCGTTTGAACGAACAAAGAGAACTTCTAAAGAAGATGATGGAACAAACTCAGCAAGCTCAATTGAAGCAGTTGGAGGGGAAGCATGAGAGGTTTGTTCTTCTGTGATACCACTACTTTTTCAGTTACAATTATCAACCAAAAAATACTTAACTTGACTTTTAATAAAAAGCTTTATTATTATTATTCTCAATTCAAATGTTGTTTTAATCGATTATTTTACTATCTTGATAGATTTCATTGGGTGGAATGCATTTCATGCAGTGAAAACAGCTTTTGAGTATCTACATCCTCTCCTCTTACTCTTACATTAAATTATATTAAAAGCTTAGCTGACTTAATCATTAAAACGTACATTACATTTTATTTAATCATTGTTCATGTTAGAGAATTGAAAGAGATGACAGCACGTCAAACCAAGATCAGCATAGAAACCAGTAAGGAAGTTGCCAGCGATAAAACCTTGAAAACCAAACAAGAAAAAGACAGGCGTTTAAGGGAGAAGAAACAAAACAATACTAAGAAATTTATGGACGAGCGCAAGGTCTGCATTTCACTCTAGTATCTACTTAACGAATTAAAATGATTATCAAATATCTGCTACTAGTTTTATAAAGAATAACAACAAAAAAGACATTAACTTACTTCAACGAAATGGGTGGTCTCATTCTTAAAAAAATAACTTGTTTCCTTAAAACACATTTAAAACATTATAATGTTCTGTCACTTTCTTTCAAATGAAGAAAATAACTTTTAAGAAAAGGACAAAACACTTCAATTGCTAAAATATTGTTAGAATTTTTAACGACAGGACTTTGTAATAAAGTCAGAATAAGACTAATAAATGAATTAATTTAAACTATAGGTAACCATTACAGAATAATTGTATTATATTTTACCTCTGTTTTATTAAATATTATATAATTTTCAGACGCAAACCATCAAACAGAATCGCGAGAAGGAAAAGCTAAAGGCCACTCACGATAAGCAAATGGATGATTTATCAAAGGACATAGACACTGTGAGTATATATTGCTTTATTTATTCATGCTTCATTGAAAGTATCAAGGAGTTATGAATTCAAATCTGCAAAACAAAAAAAATATATAGTAACATTAACAATTAGCCCGCCCTAGCATATTTCTGATTAAAATTTAGTGTATATAGGATTTTTTTTATTACTCACTTCAGGCCATAGACCGTCACACTTTCGCATTTCCAAAATTAGTATGTATATATTAAATTATAACAATTATATTGCAGCTCATCCAGATGTACAAGATGGAGGAATCCGACTACGATTCGAATCATAAACCAGAATATTTTGCATGAAAGTACCCTCATATAGCTCCCCTGTTGGAGCAAATGACTTGAAAAGTGAATGATTAAGTGATCTCTTCAATATTAAAGTTACCTAAATTATAAGTCACCAAAATACCTACCTACCTAAATTGCATACCAAAGTATGTTAAATTAATGGTAATTAATTATATTTTATTTATACTAATTATAGAGATTGTCAAGTTTGTCGCTACCTCTAGACTTATATAAACTTAGTAATAATATATACGTGTAGGTAATATTATTAACTGAACCTATAGAGTAGGGAGAATTTTAGTGTCTTACATTTTCTTCAACGCCTATAATTTTTACTGATTTAGATATTGTAGAAAGTCGTCTATCTCACCTATTTCGACCAAGCACCATGATTTGTAGCTGTATTTTAGTTGAACGGTGAGATATGACAGTACAATTACAGTGTACGGTATAGTAAGCATGAAACTCGCATCTTGTATTGTATCTTGTAGTATGGCAACGTTTGACGAGTACCGAGGTCGTTACATAATAATGTCTGCGGTACTGTTTTATAGAAGAAGGTTACCACTTACCATCAGTTGGTTGTCACTTAGTTTACCATTCTAATTAGATGCATAAAAACCGATTTAAACAAATACATACATCTAAGATGGAGTATACCTATAGAATTAGTCAAGTAGACTGCGACAAATTTGTAGCACGCTAATAATCGTGACATGTTAGAATACGTTAGACTAAGCATTATATTAATAAAGTATAGATACATTTTGAACAATTTTTACCTTGTGTAAAAAAATTATATTTCAACTAAATCAATGGATGATGGGAGAATGTATAATGGAATTGTAATTGATCAGATTTATAGCAGATTCATTAGATCAAACATACATATATATACTTAAGTATTATTTAACAGATGTTTCTTAGTATAGGTACATAAATATAGGTGCGTACCACTATATCAGTATCTACATTAAGTTAAGCACTTCAAGTAATTCAGTTTTTTCTTGTAACTTTAATTCCTTTAGACGCCTGGATAGATCTTCCAAAAATTCCATATTACTTTATATTGTTAGTATTCATAAAACGTTATAATTATTTATATTATGTGTTCAAACTAAGATAAAACAAATTGTTCACATACGCAGTTGATTAACTTTCAATACTTCTTGATATCTTTTAAAACTTTCTTCTACTTAGTTCATTTACTTGGGAGCAGAAGTTAATTCGCTACTTTATCTAAATATGCTACTATAACTATAATAGACCTACTAATTTAAGAATTAAAAAACTTATGTCCTATAGATATGAATGAATAGATGTCGGTAATAATATCGAAGTATAGTATAATGGTATATATTAATATAGTGTATAATGGTTAGTAACTTCCCCCATAAAAGCACATGCTGGAAATGAGTGGGACCTGGAGGGTATACCTAAATGAAATGTTGAAAATATCAATACGGACATTTAGAAAAAGTACCGTAAAAATATCTAAATATATATATGCCCCTCTAGCGCTCACTCTATTTTTGACCCTGTAATAGTTCGAATAAAGTTCCAAATTATATAAGGAATCTCTTATATATGTATATGTATAACTATTTATACGTAAGCATTAAGTGTATCATCTCTACAATTTGTAGTGTATGTACTTACTTAATATACTATTATTATTATTATATAGACACATTTAATTGAATTTAATCGAAAAATTGGAACGAGCAAATTAACGAGTAAAAAATTCGTACTGAAAAGAAGTGATTTTTCGGCCTTTTGGAATTAAAATTAATATTTAGCCAAGTATTTATCGTAATATAGGTAGCGAAGTTAATGTTATGTTCTTGTTACGGGTATAATGTAAACATGATCCATTTAATGGCTAATGTGAATGAAAATAACGATGTAGATATTTTCTACGACATATAATGGATTTTTAGGCGGGAGCTGACCTTCAACCGCTCCATAAGTCCTTTCGCAGGTTTGGAGTGCCATCTGCACTCGCCACCTATCGTCTGGTAAAGATATAAAGCCCAGTTTCGGCCAACAGCATAAGAGTAGTCTGAAATAAAAGGGAATTCGAATTATAGAGATACTAGACACAAGTCTTACAATGTTATTTTTTTAAAACTCACATATTTTTAATTTATAACAATGAGAATATAGCGTAATAGTTATTCTCATACATTTGTGACAAAATTACAACAATATATAAGAGTTAGTGCTGAGCATGTCAATGTTGCATTAACCACGAAGTCGACAACTTCAGACTTAATAATATACGTTTTATATCATTATTTTAATAACAATTGAGTTGATATAATGTTATCAAGCAACATTTTCTAATTGGGGGTATATAATGAATTGTGTTAATTCTTTAACATGTTGTAGTATACATGCATATATTTATTCTATCTCTTTAGGGAACATTTAATGTTTTAAATACTACAAGTAAATTTATTATAAATTACTATAGTAAGTACTAGTAGTAATAAATATATATTGAACAAGGGAAACATAAGGTGGTGGAAAGAATAGTCCTTTAGATACATTTACTGACCCTTAATAAATTAGATATTATAAATAATTCTGTACAACTTAAGTTACTATTCTTTCTTTGGTCGTTTTGGTGGTATTATAAGATGTAATGTATAAAAAAATATTTAATCATGACACCATATTCAATGTAGGTAGTACCTACCTATCTAATCTATTTTGTAAACGGTCAATGCCGGTCCTTTTGTTCGACATAAGTCAATCGAATATTAGAAAGGTTCAACAACAATTATAACCGACTTTGTAAAAATTTTCTTATTTAGACCTCTGTCTCACCTATCAGCCGCCTAATTTCTAACCTGTGTTTCGGTTGAAGAGTAATACAGTGAAATTACAGGATCTACAATCATAAGATCTTGGTCCTCTGGAATGGCAACGCATGACTGGTATCACGGGTAACGTGATCTCCATGCTGCCGTTCATATATATATATATAGGCGACGGTTACTGTTTACCACCATGTTGATCGTCAGCTTGTTTGCTATTCTACTTATGAAAAAAAATATTACATAATTCAGTACACATGAGAATGTTGTTCTGTACTTATATACATATTTGTTCTTTTCCATAAAGATGGCAAGATTGTGTTGGATTGTTGCCATATTACAAAATATGGCACTTCCTTAAATTTAGAATACAGAATAGAACCCGTTTGGAAAAGATGGGATTTACCTAAAATTGTCACTATTAGCACCGCATCTCGTTATACATATAACCCGTAAATATAAAATAATATAATATTTAGACTCTATGTTAAAGGCGTATTAAACTCGAGGGATTATATTTTTTTAAGATTCGTCGTGTATTTATCAATTGCAATCAATATTAATATATTAATTACAATCATGGATGTCTAAAACTCCAATAGAGTTTTAGACATCCATGATTGATAGGTACACTTAACAACAATAACAAAATGCCTAGGAAGCTAGTTTGTTATTGTTGACAAATGCTTTGCTAAATTTAGAGGTGGACTTAGACCAGAATCTTTATGTGATGACTGATTTGAACATAGAACGTGTTATCAACACACTAAATAATTCACTAAGTCAAGTTGTCAAGCATCAAATAAATGCTCTTAAAATTCATTTCATATTGTGTAAAAAAGTACAACTTCCATGAACATTTTGGGTACATTCATTGTTAAATAAATAATGTCTCAAAAATGCCAAACTGCATAAAAAATGCTGCATTGCCAATATAAATCTTCGGTCGAATATTGATAAGATTAGATTTGGCCAAAGGCAGCAGTGTAATATTGACTGTTGACGTTTTCATTCTCTGAAGTACTTATAATAAATACCTAATTGTAAATTAATTTTAATGATATCATTCCTTCAACATTTGTACCCTCATCTCTTGTTGTTAGTGGACCAAAATTTATTCAATTTCATTGTTAATTGCTAATTATATAATAATATTATAAAACTGAGAATGTTAACATTGTAATTAGAATTAATTACATAACTAGTATACAGTTATTCTCTTATAATTTAATAATCTTAATCGGAGTACATACAGTATATAGTTTGAAGCACCTACATGTATAAACATGTATTAGTTTATTTTTAAATATTATTAACTAATATTCATGTATTACCTACCAAATGTCTTATAGTAATTAATACTTTAATTTTCTATTATAGTCCCTAAAATTCGTGCATGGTGGCCGTAACGTGGATTATACGAGATAGGATTAGATGTCTCCTGCAATGCCATATAAATAGAGATCGAAATTACGACAGCCTGAGCCGAGGGTCGAACCCGTAGCGGTGACCTCTGGCTAAAGTCGTATCCGTCAGTGATAACTTTCGCAGGTTTGAAGTGTCTTGTGCAGCCATTTTTCATGCATTGCATCGGTAAAAGCCTGCATTACAATTCCAAAAATTAAAACACAAGGTAAGGTAATCGGTAGCAAAAATTGTGTAGCGAGAAGGTAAACTCCATAAGAAGGCCATGCACAGAATCACTTAGTTAATCACTAGAAGACTATTTGATGTCAATATTCTAATTTATTTTAATAATAAAGTTACTTGTTGTACAGATACGTATTATTATAGATACAATTATTATCAGCACCTTTAGCTAATATAGAAAATAGATGTAATAGTCGATAATTAGTAGACTAAGTACCTTAAAGTTCAACACTATATTCTAGTCAATTTTATTCATAATATTATTACCTATAATTTTACTATTTATATGTAAAGCTGATGACATGACCAATGTTTATAGATTTCTGCATTAAAATAGTAACACAGTGTTTTGTGTTTCATGTTTGTGTAACATTTGGATATACAATAAATAGAAATTATGACTACAGTTTTAGTTAGATATGTTATATATTATTTTCACAACATGTTACCAATTAAAAGATTTACTTAGTTGCTTATAATTCTTATTATATCTATAAAATATTTATAAACTTATCTTGAATTTATACTGAACCATACACTATTTTTAAATATCATCATAACTGTTTTAGATTTAAAAATGATAGTGAGAGTAAATAATAAGTGTTTCTTAATGTTTATAATCGTGTTTCTGAATTTAAGTACATTTATAGTTGAGAGGATGTTAATATTAATAAATGCACTTTATTGGATTTGGATAATAAAATTATTCATATATTATTGTGGTGAAATTATACAAAAATATTATACTTTATTTAACTGTTGTATGTAAAATGGTTACTGTATTAGTTAGTTTTGAAATGGTGATACGAAAAAATATATTATTTGGCCTATTGATATATGAATTAAGAATTCGAATTTTAATATATGATCTACAGGTGCATATATCAAAGCAAATAGGTAAACATCAGCACTCAGTTCTGATGTAAAGAAAGTATCAATTAAAATAAATATTTTGTTGTTTTTTATTAGCACTCTTAGCACTTAATGTATTGATATGGCACCATTCTGATGATATGTAATTGTGATTTGTATTTTGAAATATTTAATTGCATACAGATATCTCAACTGTTTAGAATAAGAATGTGAAATGTAAAGCATATATTCTAAAATCATTGTATTGAACATATATTTTAGACACATTGCTGTTCATAATCTATGAAATTTGGTGGCAAAATAGGATAATTGGTACTTAACAACCAAATTTCATAACTTTTAGAAAAATAGTGAAAGAATATTCTATCCAAAGATCTATTTATTGTTTTAAGTACAATAAATAACTAAATTATAACATTTTAAATATAACATTGTTTATTATTTCAAATCCTAATATCCTAAAGTTACAGTTATTATGATGATTTTATGCTCCTGATCTTCTTTCTTTCTTTATAAAGACTTTCATGTTGTACTGAAACAGTAATAAAGAATATATATTATTAAATAGCTTATATATACTTATGATATCTATGTTCTGCATTAGAAAGAATTGATATCTATGAATTGCCACAGTCAATATTGTTTTTTTTTTAATAATATTTTTTTTTATTATTCTATTTTAATCCGACCATTCAATTTTGCTAACTGCTTCAGATGAAAAGAACTAGCAAGAAACTGAACTGGTTTTTATATCAATTGTTAACATACTGATGCTGAGAGTTTTTGCATATATAAAACAATGCCTTTTTATATTATTCAGAAGACTTAGTCACTTATTACAAGTTTCATTTAGTTGGCATGGCATACTCATTTACAAGTTTCATTTAGTTGGCATGCATGGAATGATACTTAATTCCATTAGAAATTTAACTGCAATAGCATTACATGAATAATAATTTACCTATTAGAAACAATGAATACTGCAAGTTGTTTATGATATATAGACTTATACGGTCTTATTACAAAAAATCTGTTCGGACGAAACGTGGTCTAAATGGTCGAGGTTTAAACCATTTAATACTTGGAATAAACCTAACATTATTACGAATCCAGATCTAACAGAGGACTACTTAGTACTACAGTTAAATCGTTCATTATGTATTACATACAGAAATCAGTCACTCATGTCTGTTAGCGTACAATTACGTTCCGTTTTACCAGAAAACTGAAAAGATCAAAAATAATATTACTTCAAATAAAAATGTATAAACTAAAAATAAATTTATTTCCATTTATCTATGTCTTCATTATAACTATTTCATTAATATATAATATTTGTTAATGTACTATTAGGCTGAAAATCAGTTTTAAGTTACAAGTAGGAGAAAATATATATATACGGAGAAAAGGAACGGCGGGATATTTTTATTGGATCGATGCGAATGGTGACTATTTCAAAGTCAAATGAGTGAAAAAATAACAAATACCGTCTTTTATATATTTTTATTATCGTAAAATTAGCTTTAAATATTTTTAGTTAATATATTTTTAATTTAGTTAAAATATTTTTCGAAAAACAACAAATTAAAATACAATTTTTAAAATAGAGTTTGATTTTTTGCATTTAGACCACTGTTAAACTAGGGGCATCGCAGGTCTAACTTTAGACCATAGACAAATCACGATTTAGAGATAAACTTCATTTTGTAATAAGGAATACATTGGTGAATGGTTTATTACTAGTGCTAAACCAGGTTTATCTTTTTGTAATGATAATCAACATACATGTTTCTTTAAAATATGCATATAAAAACTACATTAGAGTTAAATATAAAAAAAAATGCTTGTTTACTTACTGAGTAAACAACCGTTAACCTGTATAGTCCCTGAAATATTCTTTAGCTACAATGTAGTGTTGCATTACACACATATATGTCACTTAATGACAATTTGTTAGCATATTTAAGAAAGTACATATATATATAAATAAAAATTGTTTACCAAAAGAAACTTTAAAAAGTTGTCTACAGTATTTCAATTGCCAAAAAGTTTGCTCTGTAAGCTTTGTTTTAGTCACAGTGGATCATTGATATCACAAGATAATACAATGTTGATAATACTTTTCATCTATACCGGAGATGGTTAGCTTTTACCATAGTTTGGGAATCCAGGGAAAGTTGTTTGCTATACCAATGTAATAAAAAAAAAGTTATTGTTTAATTCATACAACTTACAATGACAAAACAGTTATTGTGTACTTCCATTACTGGGGACTAAGTTTTTACTTTCATATCCAACAATCTGCCTGTTAATTTTACAAATTTGCAAAAATTCACCTATATATAAAACCTATGTCTAACAGTATATGCAAAAAATACTATTTTCACAACTACTGTAACACTACAATAGCAATTTCTGAGTAGCATTAGTTATACTCACTGTATGGATCAAATCGTAATAATTCTAATTTGTCAGCGAGTCGTTCTCTGATAGTCACGAATTTGTGTCCAGACACTGCACTCTCCATTAAAACCATGATCATTCTATAAAATAACATACATAAAAACATATTACAGTATTTTTTATAGAAAACTAGGTTATATACGCTACTTGGTCTGATTTTATTGAGACAAAAGATAACACGTCCATTTTAGTGTTCCAAACTATCTTTTTGCCAAATTGCTTTAAGATACATTTAGACATAAAAAGGTAACAGACAGACACAGTTTCTAATTTACAACATTAATAGTATTTAATACATGCGAACAAAATATAGTCATGATAAGGTTAACTTACTTGCTCTTAGTTTTTTTAAACAGAATGTTCGTCAGGAACATAGTTACTGCGTAATTTTCGTTTCTTAAGACTATATTCCTACAAAAGTAATTTATATTTCATGTAGATGATGTAATTAAAGATTTGTCAAAAATTATAAAGTTCGCTGGTTTGTTTTTCTGGAATTTTTATTTTTATTTTACCCGTGTCAAATTTAGACATAGACAATTTATTGACAGTTACTTTTTGGTTAATAGTTTTGTACGGCACTAAGTACAAAATTTTTTAAAATATAAACCCATGATGCATGTGAATATTTTGTGTTCTTTGTTTTAAATAAAGATACTATTTTATGTGTGTTTCTTTTGCAACCTATTGTGCAAGTTAATATCATTAATTCCTCGTTCAGTAATATCCTATATACATAACAATACAATACATACTTAATAAGATCTTAACTAAATTAATTTATAAAGTTATTGATGTAGTATACATATTAAATATTATTGCTAATTTTTTAGAATATCATAGGTAGTTTGAGTTTTAATGTAATAATCTAAATTTTTCATGTAAAATAATTTGGTAATGTCTACAATTTTCATAACCATAGACAAAAAATTAAATATGCCACGCAAACACTGTTAAATTTAGTAGAAATTAGTAGATATTTCTTCAGTGGTAGAAATAATTTTTCAAAATTAATAAATCAAAACCAAAAGTCTAAAATATTTTTATTAAAATATAAACTTCGTTCATTAAAATATTTTCACACAACAATTCCAGAAACGTTTATAGCTTGTCATAAGTGTTTTTGATTAGACTAAAGAGTTATTCATCTGTTATCCTGGTAACATTTTGTTGGCAAAACTTGTTCAATTCTAGAGAATCGACAATTCGGACAATTCGACAGTAGAGTGAGTGATGATGATGAACTTGTGAACCGGCTTTGCTTGATATTTTGTGTGACTATAGTTTTGTGTTCTTTCTTTGTTCTATAATATACATCTCGCAAATGAATTAGTCAACTTCTTAAACTGCAAATTTTATTAGTATTTTGTTTTTAGTAGTGTAGTACATTCATTAAAAGAACAATGATAAAAAACGAAATGGAGAATGGCGGCGGCGACGCCAATTCCAATGTGTCACCGACCAAGCTCATGGTCAATTACATACCCGAATTGATGACGCGCGACATGATGTACGCGTTATTCTCTGCGATGGGCAAGATTGAGAGTTGTAAATTGATCGCAAACAGGGGTTACGGTTTCGTGGAATATGAAAAACACGAGGACGCCGAGAAGGCTCGGGCGGCTTTCAACGGCCTCCTCATGCAAGGAAAGACCTTAAAAGTATCATTCGCACTGCTCAATCCAGAAAACAAAGTCAGCCATAAACCAGACACAGAATCGAACCTCTACATTAGTAATCTACCTCCTGATATGACGCTGGAACGTCTTAACAGCTTGTTTAGTTCATTTGGGATAATAACCAATAGTCGTGTATCACAAGGCATCGGATTCGTATGTTTCGAAAGCCGGTCGCAGGCAGAAGAGGCAATAAAGCATTTAAATGGACAGACGCCGATACCCGGTGCTGGGGCTATAGCTGTTAAGTTTGCCAATAAGCCCAATGCAAATAAGAACGCACCGCGACCCACTCCACGGGTCGGGGTGGGCGCTTCGCCATTGGCTTACAATGGAACAGCTGCAGTGTTTAATGGGACCACGCCGGCCGCGTTTAATGGCACGAACCTCAGCGCGGCGTTCGGTGCTCGACCGGCCGCCTTCGCGCCTGGATTCCCACAAGCTTCACCACCACCTCTTCTACCATCACCTGGTAAGGCCCTTCCTTTCATCAACAAGGGCCAGCAGCGCTTTAACCCAATGGCTGCAACTAACCACACACCACTGCCACTGCTCGGAGCCCCTGCCAGTCCTGTACCTCTGCTGGGTGCACCACCAGCGCCACATCAAACTACAGTGTATGTATATAATATTGGTGAGGATACTGAGGAACTAGCTTTGTGGCAGCTTTTTGGGCCGTATGGAGCAATTGACTCCATAAAAGTAATCAAGGATCCTGAAACAAAGAAAAACAAAGGTTTTGCCTTTGTAAATATGAGGGAATATGATGAGGCTGCAATGGCAATTCAAGCACTCAACGGATACACGCTCAATGGACAGGTTCTATCAGTTAGCTTTAAGACTCAGAAAAGAAATAATTAGGATGTGGACGGACGTTATAAACGCCGTTTTATTTGTGATCATACCGGGCCGAAACCTTAAAAAGAAATATTTCATTCCAATCTCAGAATATTTTTGTAGTCGAGAAGGAAGATCTTCTATATGCATTTCATAGTCGCATAAGTATTTTTGTAAGATTTAATATAGTTTTATATTTGCAAAAACATGACTATCTGTGAGTTTAGTTGGCTTGACAGTATCGTATATGTGTATCCACTTTTATCATATGATATGGTATTATATTATTGGACTATGTATGGACCTGTCGCAGTATGTATATCTGACCATAACGGGAGTTTGGGTATGCTCCGCCTTGCAAGATGTGTACCCCAGCTCCTGTATAAATCCTCCAGGTATTTTATTTTGTGTAAACAAAAGCATTGTATGTTTTTAATCTTTAATAAATTTCATGTTTAAATAGATATTAATGTATATTTCTCTATTTTTATTTTCTATATACTTATCCCCCACCCTATTGTCCTTATTTACGTACGTTATGTATACATAATAATAATAATAATAATCCACCCATAATATAATAATTATTTGTGGCAGTAGTTTAACATGTACATAATATATAATTGTGTGTATTGTCTGGCGGCAGGTCAGCTGTGTAAAACTGCTTACATATTGCATGTTGTGTAGTCGATGAGCAAAAATATTTTTTATTTGTTTATGTTACCTCAGGGTTATAGCTCTCGTTATTGTTTTTCCCGTCCTCAGTTACTTATCCAATATTATTTTTGGCGCAATCGCAAGTCAGGCCTTCTAGTTTCAGAATTATCATGTTATAAACTATAAATGTATTTATTACTGACACTGTCTTAGACAGTTCAATAGCTTTAATTTTATAAAATATGACTTCAAGTCAGTCCATTAGTGATGTAATAATATTTGTGATTAAAGAATTTAAAATGTTAAATTTCTCCAAAAAGTCAAATGTGGTTAGGATGTGTTTTAGTAGGACGTAGGAAATATAATGTTTCAGTGATCCGAAAAAAAAACTAGAGCCTATGGACCAAGTGAATTTTCAAACTGCCACAAATCTAGAATTAATGCACTAGGTGCCTAACCCTGCGTGCCTCTTACTCGGACAATTATTACCAAACAACAGTTTTAAGAGTGAAAGTAGAAAGTATCACAATGTGATATGGTGGTGAGTAATTATTTTTTTTAATTAATAATAATTCGTAGTTTGTCCGTTGCTTAATTCCTACATAGTTATTCTTAAAAATTGTAGAGTTTTAAACCGTATTTTGTAAACTTATAAATATGCATATTTATTTAAAAAACGGGTTTATATCACTAACATTGTGGGCTAGTGTTATTAAGGATGTTATGATAGCCAATGATACAGTGGTATAAAGATAAATAGGACCAGAGATAATATTTCTTATTATTCCTGCCTGCTTACTGAATTAACTCAAGTATTGAATTAAAGAACTTGCAAAATATGAAACAAATGTTACAGGAAAAAATACTATAATTAATCTACGGGAAGTTAATGTCGTTCGAGTCAAAAAGTTTGTCGTTTCAGTGATAAAGGCGCGTACAGTACATAAATACATGACGGACACGAGAACAAATAAATCCACGCGGTCAAAGCGATTAGTGAAGTTACAATAAACTCGTGAGTGAGTTAATAGGTAGAATATTAGTTATAGTGCGGGCTCTACTAATACTGATATTTTTTATGTTTTGATTCGGCAAATAAACACTTCCACAGCCCGTTCGCTGCCAATAGACTTTAATAGTGCTTTATTATCGCATGATACACTTATGTCGATTAGGAATATGAGGTCTTCAATATCTCATACGTCATAATATATGTGTAGGTGTAAGATGTGCAGTCGTGCATTGCTTATACTTGATAAAAAACACCTTGGTCCTCAATTGGAATAGTGTATGAAGGGTATCGCGGACCTCACAGCGTGTGATTGTTATTAGTATGTAGGTTCTATTACTAATTTATCCATTTAGATAATACAACAATACGTGTTAGTTCCGTAACGACTGACAATCACAATTCACGACTGATCTCTGTATACAAATTAACTTATCTTGACTGACTACTCTATAAATGTAATTCCTAATTTTTAATATAGGTTCTTTTAAACAAGTAATAAAGCGTTATACGATATTTCAATGGTAACTAAAATATACTATCAGGCGGATAAATCCGCGGTAAAATTTAGTATATAATATACGTATTCCGTTTTAGGCATTTGAATACATCATTGAATTAGAAGACGGATTGTGGTCTGAGTGAGACCTACACTTAAAATGAATAGTACAATTTACCTTATCACCAAAGCGGAAATGGGCACAGCGCGCAGCCAAGTAAAATTTCATGATATACAATAGCCAGCATTTGATATGATTCTATCTACTTATTTAAATTGTTAATTTGCTTGATATATATTAACTGTCACGTTGGTAAGTTAGCTAACGTTAATAGTATTCCAATTTCCTTTCTACTCTTGGACACATTCGAATCACACCCTATCAGTGGCAACAAAATAAATGTTTACATTAAAAATAGGATACATAATTTAATAATCTCAACTCAGCAGCCAGCAGAACTGAACGCTACAATAAAAGTGCGTGATAAAAATGACCTATAGGTATAAATAAATGTAAAAGAGTTTTTCTTATTTTGGTATTAATTTATTTTAATTATTGTCATTAATTTTTCGTCTTACTGCAAAAAATTTGCCGGTTGGCAGTAATATTATTTGAGAATTAGTGCAGGTTTTAATGATGATGTTGGGTTAATCCTATATTTTAATCATATTAGAATTCAAAACTATGTTCGAGTGGCGTTAAAGATAATTAGAATCTTGTATACAGTCGGCAATTTTTGGCGTAGACAAGTACATACGTGTAGATATGATTCTTGTTTACATTAATTTGATAATGAAGTGCTAAGATAAAATTCAAACTTTGCTGTAAATGTATTATTTATTGACCATCTTGCTTGTCACTCAATATCTCTGAAGTCGACTGTACCTAATTATGACGCAAATATAAAAATCAAGGCTTTTAGGTATTCTGACACGTGTTAAACACATATGCGTAGAGATACGTACTTATTTATTGTGCACAAATATTTCTTACCAAGAATGCCTTATTATTAGTAATTAAATGTAATCTATATATATATATATATATATATATATTTATAAAACTCAAACACATTTATTCATATAGGACTTTTCAGTCTCTTAAACCTACACGTGTTATTTTTCATCACTGTCCCTAGCATCCAGTTCCACTAGCTTCTTCAATTGACAAGAACTGGTACATGATTTTGTGTCAGTTAAATTTTTAAATATTACATAGCGTTTCCGAAATGTCCCTATATGGCCACTTAAAATAAAAATCTCTTCTTCGAGTACATCTTTTTAATAATTCGACTTTTTATTAGACTAACTGTGCGCTCGTTGCTTTCTTTCTAGTTGATTTACAATGGCCAACATATACTACATAAATTAAAAACTCTAAATAATTTAATATGTGAAATACAGAAAATTATATCCATAAAAATGAAAAAGTATTTCTATGCTTATTATTTTTAAACGAAATTACCGTAATCCTTTATTCTCAGTGGCCTTGGGAGTGTTGTGCAGTTTAACTCACTGTCTTACCTTCCGATGCTTACGGGTTTGTTCCGCGCACACATACAGTCATACTTAGAGTATGGCTGTTTGTAATGGTCTAGGTGTTTTCTATATATATATGTATATATAAAATTCAAGCGTGTATCTTGTAGTTTCCCGAAATACTATTAATATATTGTTTTGCTTAATTTGGAATTAAATGACTGTCTTATACCTATGATAAAGTTTTACAAAAAATAAAAGAAAAAGACAAATCGAAGAAAAAACTGCCAACATCGCATTAGCATTTCTAAACATACTTGTGACTTAGGTATACTTATATATTTTAATTATATAGATACCAACTATGAGAACATTAAGATATAAAATTATTTAAATCAATATAAACATTTAACGTAAATGAAAATAAAGATCGTCCAAATTCAAGATGATATAAAGAATATTTACAACGATAACTATTATTTTATTAAAATATACGATTCAAGAATCGTATAGGAAAATGGATTTAATGGATTGCCTACTCGTTTAAGACAGGACATTCACCGCTTAAACCAAGTTTTATTTGTAATATAACAACCAAAAACTGGTTATTTTTTGCTGGTGTTTGCGATTCTAGCTACTCTTATTATGAATACATAATTTGTACAAAAATAAACATACAATCATATTAATGGTTTGGTCTGAAAATTTTATTACTGCCTGATGACATTTTCCTAAATATACGATTTCATTACTAGTGTACCAAATTTTTTTATACCTTCACAGTGCATACTGTTTTATTTATTTAGAATTCGGTATTGACTACTGAAAGTGATAATGTTAGTATACATTTTGCGGATTCTCTATCTAATCTTTTATCTTTACATCAGAACCTAATTGTTATTATTTATAAATATGTAATAGTAACGATTAACAATGGAAATGTCACACACATCCAAAGTTCAAGAATTCGGAACAATTCTACATAATAATTTTAAATAGCAGAACTAATAACACGAAATACATATAATGCTTCTATATGTACCAACAGATAGGATACTCTGACACACATAAATAATTGACGGGTCAATCTATTTTATACGATAACTATGCTACGGGTCCCGCGATCTGACATATCTGAACACAATATAAAGAAAATGAACAATTTTATAAAAAAATACCACTGGGTCATATCAAAAACTGACTTCAAATCAGGCAGACCTGAAAGCAGTGAGAGATTCTTGAAAATGAACAAATTCCCTATAGTTTTGAAATAATTTCGAACATTTTATGCCTACAAGTTGTGATGTAAAAAATATATATACACATAGTTCAGATATTAAAATATGGTTTATATGCAAATAAGTACTATGTTAACTATAGTATCAGCTTATAAAATCTAATATAAAGCAATATATTTATAGATACATATGCAATAACAAAAGTCCATAAAATATTGTGAATGACGATATAAAACTGTATCGGTCAACTAGATCGGAGCGACAATTCTAAAGGTCTAAGGTCAAGGTCTTAGGCCCGGGAGATGGATATTTTATTTAACATCAGAGCCGCCGCGCTATTTTTTAAAAAGGTGTAGTCAGCTATTGAATGAAGTGTAATTTCATTAATTTCATTTTTTTTAATGTTTACTATTATATCTAACGTTAATGTAAAGACATAGCACGGAATTAATTTTAACTAATATTTGTTATATTAGTATAATCATTATTATCTTAACGGATATTAAAGTTATATAGAAGAAGTTATAAAGTTATAATACATTGAGTATATTTTACAAATGTTGTTTCAAGGGTATGTTAAGCGATACTAAACGCTGAAAACGTTTTTTGGCAATTCAGGTATCAATTTGTTTGTTTACAGTTACAGATACAATAATAATAATGTGGTTGAACAATTCACACAGCGCCATCTAGTCCCATGGTAAGCAAAGCTTGTGTTATGGGTAATAGATAACGGATACAAATACTTAATAAATTTTTTTGTAAATACATACATAATATAGGTATATAGATAACACCTAGACCGATACCAATTACCATACTCAAGAATTCAAATGTTTATACTGCGCGAGGAATCGAACCCGCAAACATTGGAAGTAAAGTGGTGTGCTAAACCGCGAGACCACCGAAGACGGCATATATAGTCGTCAATATATAGAAAGTATAACAAACGGTAGTTAAATTATCTACATATGAGGCAAGAATATATGAATACCACTGCGCAATGCTCATTGGTCATCATACATTTATAAGCATAAGTATTTTGTGCTAAGCAAATAAACAAGTACAGCAACTTTATTAATCTATACCTCTATACTAATATTTGTGAGTATAAGTGTATGTGGAAGGTAATATTCGTAACTATTGCGCCTGTTTCAAATGTATTTGAAACATTATTAGGTCATCAAATAGTGAGTGGATTTAAAATAAAATTCAATTTGATTGCATTTTTTCAATTGGACCAACTCGGTCAGTTATTGATAAAAATAAGCCTTCCATAAAATTATCTAATCTTTTTCATGGTTTTATTATACAATGAAGTTTTTTTTCTTTTTATGATAAAAATATAGTTCCATTGTATTTTTTTATTTTAATGTTTTGAATGCAGAATATATATACCACGTTAATATTACTTTATACACAGAACAGTAAAATAATGAGTCAAAATAATATTTATTTTTAACATAACGTAAATAATCTGTGATAAACAATCTTCCATCATCAACACAACCATTAGTTTCTTTTCTACCACTGAGTTGAGTAGCAGTATGAGTTAGCAACGTAGATCCGTTTTAACTGTTTTGGAAATATATCTCTACAATCCGTATACTATTTACGTTGATCCCACAAGTTACATTTAAAGTAACTTAATTATAACCAATCAGGTTCCTATTACAATGCAATGATCGATATAAACAAGAATTAAGCAACTAGAATAGGATTAAGTGTAGAGCTTACATTGAAATTTAATTGATACCTACGCTATGTAAATTTAGCGCCATATATTAATTAGGTACGAGTATGTCAGATACTTAAATACCTTGAAACATATTAAAATCGTCACACGGTTTTGGTTTCAAATGAATTTTGCTTTGAGGGAATTCAATTTGCTCAATTACCGCACTGGTTACCAGAGATAAAACACTAACGCAGTTCCAAACTGCTTAAACGGCCAGTAATGTGAAAAATGCCTATAGATAGAGATAGATACTCGAATAATGAAGTAAATTAAATGGTTTACTCTGAATCTTTGCCAAATAAAACGGTTTTTCTGGCACATCGCCACCAATGCAATGAATGATGGATATATGGCATATTCATAATAAAAGATTTGCTGGCAGGTAACTTCGAATATAATAAGAATAAGGAAGTCTGAATTTACAAGATGTTCATGTAAAACTAATACGATTTTATTTTATTTTATGCCCTTCTATACTTAGTAGATTTCTATTTTGTAAAATTTTTCCATCTCACCCATAACGTTTCAAAATCAATGAACTTGGCATTCATTTTGGAACGTTTCGGTATTTTTTAGTACACAGACTGATGATTTTAAGACACTATGATGTATGTATGTATGTAGCGTGTTTAATTTGATTTTACTTCTATAGGATTTTAAAAGTACATAGTTTAAATATTGTTAATTGGTCGGTCGAACTAAAAATAATATAATATACCTAAAATCAATTTTGGTAATATTGATTTAAATCCAATCTATATTTCAATAGAAAGTGTTTGGCAGTTATTGCCAATTACAAATTGTTACGAGTATTATTTTCAAAAATACAAGTATCATCTCTAATGAATTGTTGAATTGTCCTTTTATTGTTATGGTACCATTACAAAGGAGAAATAGATTGATGCAAAATAATACTAGTCAAGTAGTCCAACTTAGCAACTATACAGTTGCCAAATGATACTTAAATTAATATAAAATTTACAGATGTACAAGAATATGTCGACGATTGTGATATTTCTGGTAAAATGTAATTTGTAGCATATAATGCTTTGGTTTTAAACGTAACTTTTAAATTGCATCACAATATTGCAGGGTTAAATTATGTAAAATACTGTGGATGTGTAATTATGGAATTAATAGTCCTCCAATTAAAATTACACTATAAGTACTTATTTGAAAGACATTGTGATGGATGTATGTAATACAACTGCACTTATGAAATATATAGATTAAGGAAGTAAAAATGTTATAATAACCGCATGTTTTATGTGGCGGTAGGTATAGATAAGAAATTTCAATCACATGGGATTTATATATATTGTAATTATGTGCAGTTTTATATTTTTTACTTTTCTACCACATAAAATATGTGAATTGTATATATTATGGTAAGTACAGTTAATTAGATAGTAAGAGCACTTTATGTTTTCATAATGCACTGATTTAGATATATTTCATTATTGAATAAATGATTCTTTTAAGTCTTGCTTTTAATTTACTGTTATTACAGAAATCGATAGATCATATAACACGCACGCTGCCAAAAGGGTACGATAATTTGATTTTGACCCCAAGATCTCATTTTTTATGCAATGATGGAATACATAGTATGAGATGAATTTGATGCGAACTCAGTAGTACAAAACTAGAAATTAAAGGAGATTAACAATTTAGGCGTACAAAATGCAGAAATAATAAGACACATTAAAAAGCTTATTCTAGTTTTTATTTGTCGATTTAACGTACAGATGTAAGGCATCCTCCCACCTCGTGTTATTGGCACACAGAACCACCATTTACTTTCGACTTATGAATGCTTGTGAGCATAATATCACTTCAGACAAGGTTGGAAATAGACATAGTTTTTGGAAGAGAATGTTTTGATTGTAGTCAATAAAGAACTTTTATGGAGAAATGAAAACAATGTCTATTGCCTACCTAACAATGGAATGTAAGGTTTACAAAAAATGGAATGCCGAATAATAATCTTTATACATTTCACAATATTTCATTCGTAGTACGTTCGCCAGTCGTTCGTTTACAACTCGAATACTAGCCTGATATTAAAATTAAATAAAAATTTCAAGACTAGAGTTTTGTATATTATAATTGCGCCGTGAATCTCGATAAAATATATTTACAACGGTGTGTAGTTATGACTCTAAAACAATTTGTGACTCTGGTTTTAATAAAATCTTAAATAATTTGGTTTGGATTTCATCTGTACAAAATATTTGAACAAATATTGGAAAATTAATCACTTCATTACTTAAAGACATTGGATATTGGCACTGATTGAAGCTAATTAAAAAAAATATACACTACACGTTACAACATACAATATAATACAGAACAAATTGCAATATTAAATTTAGTGTATAATATAATTAATTAGCATAATGAATCTCAAATACTGTATAAAAATACTGTTAAACTCACCGACGATTTTGTTTCATAAATATTATTAATATACAACATAATAAGTAAATTTATAATAAAAAAAAAATGGACGTAAAATAATTTCTCATATTGCACAAAAAAAAATCCAACGAAGTTACCTATTTAAGTTACTGGCCGTTACCGAAAGTAAAACGAGTTATCCAAATATCCAATTACGTATCCACTTATCCATTACGTAATCTCAAGAACCATTCCAGCTAATATTAGGCACTGGTTTCAGCTAATAATATCAAAGCTAATTTTAATAATTAAATTTCCGATATACACCTTATATTAATTTATCCTAATTGTATGATAATTTTAAACATATCCAAATGTTATTGTAAACAGACCATCAATAAACTGAAATAAAAAGTATATTTTGATATTGGTACATATTGATATTTTGAAGAATTACAGTGTTTTGTGAAAAGAAGCTTAAAATCGAATATAATATCAATTACAGTTGGATATGCAGTATATTAAAATACATTGTTGCAAAATTCCGACTAGTAATTCTACCTAATTTTACGTTTCACTGTGGGATACAAAAGCTGTACTTATTACTATTTGATAACTCTTACTGATTTTTAAGTAAAAAATATCTAACATTTGCTTCATTTCTGTACAAAACACATTGACTTATTGTTTTTTAAATTTCACATACATAATTATATTAATTGTTAGTTCAAATATACATTATATATTTACGCCAAAAGTTAAAAATTATATTCATAATTTGAACGATTGTTCATAAAACACCTTAAAAATACATTTGTACTATTTATAATTCATTATAATAATAGAAAAAAAGAAAGTTGCTATTTCATGATTAACAAATTAAAAGCCGGTATATTAATTAAAAAGATGAATTATTTACATTTTGTACATATAGTTTTAGCATTTTGTCTTCATGATTTATGTACGTCATAATGCTATGGGCTCGTAACAAATTAATATCCATTGCAAATTTTGCGCGAAACAAAAAATAACAGTAGTTTATTGAATCATTAATGTCAAATATATATTAATCTTCGAAATTGTAGGCACTAGAACATACAAATCATGGTCCGATAAAATCTATGCAGAACTATGAAATTAAATATTTCTGTTGAGGTAAACACTATTGTTCTATTTCAGATGAATTTCATCTAGGCACTATAAACGCCTCAGCTGTAAACGCGTTTTAATGAAAATATCTAACGTCTGTCAATTATGACTAAATAAACCCTCTCTATTATGAGGAGATTGTAAAATGTACCACGTCAATTCATCATCCACGCGGTCCCCCTAGAAACAAAGCCAATTCCTAGTGAATTCTGTACGATGGCTGACTAACCTAACTGCACGATGATGTCACCCTGCATTGGTGTACAGCATACCCATAAAATAATATGACTAATAACCGACAGGCATTTAGAGCATGCCATATGTATATGAATATATATTATTATACATTAATGTACATGAAAATACACAATTACATTAAATAATGAACACAATTGCGATTATACATAGCTTATTGCAATACAACAAATCTACCAGACACGGTATCATGGCCTCTAATAATTACGTATGTAAATATAGTAGTAAGTTTCCAAATGAAAACTATATTTGTTTTAATTATAGCTACCGCAAACAACCAACAGTGTTTAAAAAGAAGCCCGTGTCATGGCATAATCAAATATATTAAAATCGCTCAGCAATATGTCTATGTAAGACACTTACATGTTGAGATTACTTGTCTAATAGTGTAGCAATGCCGAAATCTCATAAAGTTTTGTGTATTTTTCACAACAATTTTATATAAGACATTTTAAAATCCAATTCTAAAGTTATATTATAAATAAATGTAAAATTAACAGTAATGGTCTTACAATTTAGCCAGTTTTTATACGTAAATTTTTCGTAGGCACACTGCAATAACATATACCTTACTCGTTGCTAGTACACATTATTAGCAATAGATTGTAAAAACGTCTTATGTAAAATCATAACTAGTAACCACAAAATCTGACAGTAGATCGCGACTTTGCAATTTTAATGCGAGAGGGCGTCTATTCTGCTAAGAAGCATAACAAGCGTTCCACGTACTACCCGCAAGCGTATTTACAGTCCCGCTGTGAAATCAAACAAGGTAGTCGTTGAACTTCTTTAGCCTTCGCTACGAGTGTCGCGACGGCCTTCTCTCCGTGGTATTGCCTTCCATCGTTTCTGGACTGAATCGAACCCGAGATTGTGATCCGCTGGACGCATCGCGAGCCGACACGTACGAACTGTCCGTTTCGCTTGTCAAACTGTCTGGAGGAGTCGGATTGGTTGGTGTTCCCCCACCAGAACTACCACCAGACGCGCTCGTCTTTTTATTATATTTCTTTAAGCTCGACCGTAGCTTAGTAGGCGCTAATTCTAAACCGAGGTTCGCCGGCCTTTCTACTTCGGGTCTCTCTTGAGATTCTTGTCTATAAAAATCTCGTGGTAAGGAATAATCGCTAGTTTTTCTTGGATATTCATTTTTTGGTGAACGGTAGTCATCCCTTCTATCTTTAGAGGCGTATTTGTCAGTTCTGTATTGTCTCGACGGCGAAAATTCTTCAGCGTGGGAATTTGTTGCGGATGAATTTGAGGGGGTCCGTCTGTGAGTGAGGTATTGCGCCGGTGGTCGGTAGTCGGGAGTTGGCTCTCTGTATTCAAAGGAACATTCATCATACCCATAATATGGATGTTTAACCACGTAATCAGCTGTCCTATCGTATGCATATGGTTCCGCTCTATAATAATAGTCTCTATCTTGTGAGGGCGATGGTTGGAAGTTCTCTCTATAATTGTGGTATAGATCAGCAAGATGGTCTGACGTTGTAGACGACGTCCGCCTCGGAGATGGAGTCGGTGGTTGAGTGGATGTATAGTTGGTACCAAGTCCAGAAGTTCCAGAAAGCGGTTGGGCTGAGTGTCCATATCCGGATGATGATGAAGGATGAGCGTAATGCGTGGGTGAATCAGTGAAGCGTATAGGTTTCTGTTCTTCCGTCTGTAGGCTCGTTATCTGTTATAACAAATGTTAATAAATAGAGGACCACATATAGAAGTTGTATCACAGTACTACTATAAAATAGTATCCTTTGATAATAATAAATCTAAGCCAAGTCATGATCATGTTGTAAATACATATGCAAGTCATGATATTTGTGGAAGGGCTCGTTATGGAGTGTTGACGCTAAACTACACACAATACATTCCAAAATACATATATTTTACTGTGTAGTGTGTAGTATATATAGTAGCTGTGTACTATACATAAAACTAGCTTATCATAAAACTACTTTTCTGCTACTTTCGAATAAAAGGTACCCACCCTATCTCTATCTTTATAATACGACCTTCATATATTTATTTATTATATCTTCACGGTAAATGCCTGTCGTGTAAAAGTAACAAACAAAAGGAGAGATACATTATCACCTTCATAATATTGGTATGGATAAGGTATTTAAGGGTTAAGACCTGAGTAACATAAGTAACTGAGTAACACAATATTCACAAGGGTTAAGTTCTTTCAGTAGTCTAATCTTCATGTAAGACGTTGGTATTTCTCACACAATCAGTAACGGCATCACTTACAGGTGATCCAGTTATAGCGTTGAGTGGCGCTCTCAAATGTCTCGTAGGTCCGTGGTAAGTGTTGTGTGCGAAACCATAGCCGTCATACAGAGATGAGCTGAGAGGCTCCGTTTCTACTTCAGGCCTGAAACAAAATACATAAGGTTCATATTTTCCATACAATTCCATTTTTCTCTTACAAGAGCTAACAGCAGTTAAAATAAAAAATTTAAATTATTATGATTATTTAGCAATTTATTTACCAAAAATAATATAATACATATCCTTACTTCTTTCTCTGCATATAAATAATAATGAATAAAAGTTGACGTTTTATTTTAAATAAAAACTTTAAAATGCTCAGTCAAAAACTTTCACATCAATAGTTGAGTGGCAGATTTTTTAAGTGCACTTGATTATAGTGTAAAGACACAAAAACATTTTAATAATGAAAACTTTACAAAACTATCTCAAGATATGAATATACTACAGAATCATGAATATAAGTGAAAATGAAAAGAGAATCTTTTCTAACCGCAATTCGACACAGTCACTAAGAAATTGAAAGTTTTACAAATAACAAATCATTAGGTACACGATTTTGTTACGAATCAATTATAACATAGTAATATTACCTGTGGGGTTGCAGCGTCGGATGCAAGGGGCTAATATTTGAAACCCTCACATCATATCCTGCAGCGACACCGCCCAGAAGCGCCGCCATATTGTATAAAACCAATTCTATTATACTGGGCTTCTTGTACTTGTAACCTGAAATTAAACCAATATCCAAATATTTCTATATCTAAAAATTTTACAGATACAGACAGATTTTTAGATTTTCAGTAAGTTTTCTGTTACAGTAGGCAAACTTGAATAGAGATCGAATAGTAACGATTTTACATGACGATCTTGAATATGACTAAATAATCATATTCAGACTGTTGTGACAAATAGGGTTGCCATTAGAATTAATTGTGGACGTCCTAATCATCGCAATACTTGACATGCCCACATTTTGTCGGGTATATTTGAATTCAACGTGGCAGTGGACGAATCCACCGTCGTATCTATAGTATCAACGTCTCCATCACTTGAGAGTTAGTTATATTTTAATAAAACTATTAAAATAGAAATAAAATTTTGATAAAGTCATAAAATCAGTCAAATATATTACATACATATATTAAGTGTGTGCTACACTTAATATATTTATATAATATTTGACGCGATTTCGATCTTGTCACTTTCCAGCTTACAGATTCTTATTTCATTTAAACAAAATATTTAAGTATGAATACATACCTTCTGTGCTGTATAATGTCGGCATAGGTACAGAATATCTCGATGACGTGCTCAAAGGGAACTCGGGTCCCCATTCCTCAGGACTGAAGTCTGTGTAAGGAAGAAAACAACCTAGGTGAATGGAAAAAATATGCGCGTTAGTGTACATGTGTGCGTGCATATGTGATGAAATACGACAACGTTGTGATATTTGACGTGAAATGAGAAACTTATTCAAAGAGAGGTAAGCACCAAGGTTTATTTTTATTATTCCCAATTCACATCAAAGAGCAATTTAAAACATGTGAACATCCACTATGTTGATTTTATTTATTGTATGCAAGAATGTATGAGATAATATACACTGTCAATATTAATAAATGCATTTTATATCAAAATAAAAACAGTGTACAGTAAAATATAAAATAAAGTACTTAATAAATAAGAGGAATATTATTTTCAGTAAACATTCAGGAAATATAATTTCCCTCTCGTTTATTTTGAGATAATAAATAATACATGCAAATTTTATGAGTATAACTACACATGCCAAACAGTTCATTCTAAATAAATGTGAAAAGCAAAAAACAAAAAAATATAAATCAAGAATCTATATACTTACATGTGCAAATAATTACTTGGCGATGGCACTTTTATCCTTATAGTTTAAATTTGTTATTATATGTGTTTAATCGCTTTAATTTTTTTTTCGACCTTTCCCGATTAGAGATTGCCAGAGTGAGATAAAGCAGAAGCGTTCTTATTTTTCCTTTCGTATTTCCGTCCACCCTTCACCAAGACGTCCTTTTGGTAACCTGTCGTTTTACTATCGTTATTCGGTCACTCTATGGCTCGTTTTTTCCTAATGTTAAAGGGATTGTTAGTAACTATCAGATTAGTCAACCCATGTTAAAAAAATACACCAGATTTATATGGAAAAGGTTTATTTGATATATAAAAAGGGTCTAAGTTTATTGCTATAAAGAACCAGATCACCAAAGAGCTCATATTAACGATTTTTGTCTTTTATACAATTTAAAAGCAGAGTGTTTGTTTAGTGATTTCTCTGCTGGGGTCACATTACTTTCACAGGTGAGCCTTTCGTTTATCGTTCGTAATACTATTCCACCACCATTGCCAGGAACATTGTTACTGCGGGATATCATGTTGTACAACATGTTCTGTTATGTTATATTGGAAGCCTATGTGACTATTAAATCGCTGGTTACTTAGTCGGACGTAGAAACTAATACTAGACTAAAATTATTAAAGAAGTAAAAAAGTAGAAGAGCCAATACAAATTAAATATGTCACTGTTACAGAAAGAAACAAAATGGATATATATCATATCAAATAGACTTCCACGTGTACATTCGATATTAGAGAGAATTTTATTGTAAACATTTGAAAGCGTGCCATATGACATGGTGAAAACGAAGCGAAGATCATAAAACTAACAAATAAGTAAGTACAACAAATACATAAATAATTATAAGTCTTAAACTTTATCGTATATAGCATATACTATGAACTGCTAAGCATGCATAGCGTTTCTATTTAACTAATAAACACCTGGCTGAAAGCAAACAAATGCTTACAATTTACAAAAAAAAAACCGTGTTTAAATGGATACTAAAATTACAGCAAATAAGATACAATACAAACTCTACTACCTTACGTAACACGCACATACATTTCATGAGTATCACACAACTTAAAACGTATATAACTTATTTATCATACAATCAATTCCACTGTTACATTAACATCAAGACACTAATCTTAAAATGTAAATGATCCCTTAAATTTACTTATATCTGCTAAAACGAACACATCGAAAAACAAAACGGAAAAGTTTGTGACCCAAATAATTTTAAACGTGCTTCTATTTCTATGAGAATCTAAAGGACTTCAAAGTGGTTTGTTGAGCGAGAATTAGAATGAAAAGTGAATTTAAATGCGGTCATTTCAAAATGCGAAACATTAATGTTTTATTTCGAGAATGGTACGTTAATTAAATTATGATAATTATAATTTATATCAATAACCCTAGTACATTTACAAGTAACGTATTTGTACTCATAATTTCTAGAGAACTGCCGAAATATTAATTGAGTTGATAATTAATAAATATATGATATGTATATTTTAGGTCCACTGGAATTTAAGTTTATTATATACTCATTTATAAAATTCATCAATAATAACTTATTAAAAAATAAATATAAAAGCTTTTACATCTTTTTCAAAAATTGATAAACGCATGCTCTACATAGTGTAATATAATGTGAATATTTCGATCGTGTCACAATACAAATTGATATACTATATAAAGTATGTATACTTACAAGGATACAGCAGGTTATCCTGGGACGTTCCTTTATTGCAGCATTAAAAAAGTGAATTACAAAAATTAAAACAATAATTTATTACAAATTCATAAGTTACAATTTCCTAGTTACGCACACAATTTAAATATTATTATTATTTTTTTACTTTTCCAAACGTTTAATGCTCACAATATAAAAACATTTTGGCAAGATCCTAATTCTTCATCAGTCGAAACGAAATTACGTTAAAGTCTTTGTGGACACAAGTCGCGCTAATATTACTACCTTTAGGACTAAATTATAGAATAACTAAAATTATACCTAATGTAGTGTAGAAATCAGATAAATGCCTCCTTACCTTAAATATAAAATAGCATTATTATAAAAGTTCAAATTTTATTTGAGTCAGCAATTTTACATGTATATTTACTAAAATATAAATGCAATGGACAATTTTAATACAACTTTATTCGTTCGAGCGAGACGTTCACTTCATTGACAGTAGGTAAATAGGAAATTACCGACTCCAATAAACTACATTTTTTTTTAAATTAAAACATAGGAGCACAGACAGAATGCATGTGTAACGGAATGTTTGAGCAAAATGAGACCACTGACCATGTCGGAACCTGTATTGCTGTTACTCCAAATTATGGTTATAAGATTGTTAAATCCAAAGAGGATAATAATGGTCGCATGTCACATGTGGTAGAATGAAAATATGACTATTCAAAAGTGCTTGTAATGAGTAAATTTAAATAAAATATTATTTCTATTTCTATACTGAACTGTTCTTCTTTACTTAATAATCTAATTAGTTATAGTGCCAATCTAAAATAATGTCTTTTCTCTGCTTGTCTAAACTACACTACTGGAGTAAATGCACAATTTATATATTGCAATTTAAAGTAGGACAAATTTTAATCAGCGGATAAATTAAAGTCTACTACGTAAATCAGTGGTTCTCGTTTCGCTTCTAATTGCGTGTGGTCTAAAACTATTTGTATGGATCTTGCATTAATACAAGTCACAAATATTACCAAAAAATTCAGAAAAATAAAAATTAATTTATCTAGACATATTATTGTCATTCTAAAATTAGGGCTGCCATTTGTTACACTGATAAGAGAAAAATTATAACCAGGGCTATTGATTCCTTTTTTTATTTTAGGATATCATATTATTAGACCATTGCTGGACATAATACAAGTACTAATTGTAATTTGGACTCGTTACAGATACAGATAATCCAGATTGATAATCTGGTAATGACTAAAATGTTTTAATATTATTAATTGTTTGCAAAGTCAAACGAGGAGAAAATCTGAATGACAATAATATTTGAAAAATCATTCAGTTGGTGGGGTCTTTTATAACTTATATTCGAGTATGAAAAATATGGTAATATGTGCGAATATCATTTTACAATTATACACACACAAGGACACTGGCTTCAACGTTTAAATGAATCCAGTAAGGAATAAATCTTAATAAAAATAAGTCTTTTTATTTTCTTTTTTTTTTATAGATCATATACGTCCTACATACTATACTAACACTTACTATCAAATCCTTGGAACTTTGTTTAACTAACATTTACAAGACGTAGGTAGTGAATACTGTTTACTCCGTTTCAATATTATATATCCCCTAGACCTACATAATATATACATATATGATAAATATTATTGTGTTTACAGTTGCAGAAACATGAAGTTATAATATATGTATGACATCATCTTCATCAAAATTCGAGTCCGGTATCTTTAAATGTTTACTACATATAAAGCTTTATAGGTATTTCCTGCATAACAGTCTTACAATTACTTTTTAAGAAAAGCTTTCAAAGGCTTTATATTACGTGACAAAACAACGGATTTTAGGGCTAATGTCCCTAGAAATAGTTGAAGCAATGAGGATAATGTTTATTTGTCATATTTATTATGTAAATGAATACGGTATTGTTCTTATGACACTTAAAAATAGATTTATTGTATTAAAATCTAACAATATTTCCATAAAAAATATTGAATTCCTCAACACCGTACAATAGAACTACCACTTATTTTAATATAGAAACGGAGTAAACACTAATTTGTTGTCCGTCAAAGTTTGGGATAAAATGTTATTAATGATTGAAATATGCGACAAAAGTGTTTAACATGCTACAAGAGGAATGTTAGTAAAAATGATATGTCTTTAATATGGCAACACTTTTGTACATGTTATGATTTAATTATGTAATACAGTGAATGTGTTATTACAATTTGTACATTTACAGGGATTATACTGGCGACAATAATTTGACTCAGATATAACCATTGCCGTTACGCTAGAGGTACGACAATAAAAAAAATTGTTTGATCTTACCTATATTCGAAAAAGCGAACTAACTTCATGTTTATGCCATTTCTATTTCCCTAATGGCTAGTAAAAAAAATATATTTGTACTTAATTCATAGTTCCGGATGTAACGGCAATATAGACAGCCAGCTATTTACGAAATGCACTTATATTTGTATCAATTACATTCAAATCATTTTATCCCAAACTACTGGTCGCTGAGTAGCTGCGTCGTCTCCGAGTGCGCATTGACCGCGAAAAGACCCGCTAGACTATTCGATCGTATAGTTTTGAGGAGGTTGCGCTTAACCTCGCCGTGGCTGCCTTTGCGGCGGCTCTTATCGATCGTCTCCAGGTCGAAGACCGCGTCGTAGTGGTGCGGTATGTCGGCCGCGGAGGAGAACATCGGACAGAGGAGGAACCTGTTCCGGCGCGGCTCGTCGTTTTCGTAGAGGAGGTCGTCGTGGCTGCCGCTGCGCTTGCGCGGCAGGTCGGGCTGGTCGCGGCGCACCTGCGACTTGGAGAGGCGCGGGCGGGGCGCGCGGTGCAGGGCCCGCGGCGGGGGCGGGGGCGGGGGCGCGGGGGCGTTACCTGGGGGCGGCGCGCGGGGCGCGGGCGGCAGGTCGGGCGCCGAGCACGCGCTGCGGGGCGCGGGCCGCGGCCGCAGCGCCGGCAGCGGCAGGTGCCCGCGCGACCGCTGGTGCACCGACGACGGGCCCCACGTCTTGCCCTTCACGCCGTCCGCGGGCACTGACACGCAAACACAACACTCACTAGCATATCGGTAAATGGAACTAACACTATATTACTAGAGCTCACTTTCTTTCTCTCTCTCTATCAAAAAAAATCATTCATTTGCCAAGACAGGCTAACTGATCTGATTTTATATTCATATTATCATCCTGTCAGCGTAAACCTTCAGCGCAGGCAGGTGTCTCATTTCATTATCATCCATAAAAAAACCGTTTTTTTTATGGCTATGACAACTAATGATAACCAGTAACCGTCGCCTATATACATGGCAACACGTGGTTTTATCACGCAAAAAAAACCACTTATGTATTGCCTCGAGAGCGTAGCCTAGCCTCTAGAACTAAAATGTCATGTCTCTTATCCTGTAATTTCACTGCCTAATCTGAAACCTTCAAACGAATCACACCTTATAAATCAACTGCGGCAGTTGAAATAGGAGAGACTGAGATCCAAGCAGACGATTTTTTACAGTCTACCTCTGGCGAAAATTATCACGATTGAGGGAGGGGACTATTAATAACCTATGCTACCATAATCAGATTAATTACGATTCTTCCTGGTTTTGCTAAGTGATAAACATTCATTCTTATCATTTTATCCTTATCTACTGGTATTTTACCAAGTTTATATTTTAATCACATTATGGGATCATCGCAACATGATCATCCATATATTAGTATTAATATATATATAGTTCCAAGTATAATCCAAACATTAAACTCACGGGCGATGGCCCTCATGATAGCGGGCGAGCCGGGTGGCGTGTCCTTGGCGACGGCGACCAGCTGTTTCACGCTCGACTCGTCGTCCGAGGGACGCACAGTCAGCGTGTGCCGGAAGTCCAGAGGGGACGATATTGTGTCCTTCTTCACAAGTTTCATTTTGCTAAACTTACCTATAAAACAAATAATTACAATTCTAATTCAAATGTAAAGTATTTGGCACAGGCTGGACTTTTTTTTTTCGGTGACAGAAATGGTGTTCACAGTTCCAAACCTTAAGGAATGAATTTTAAAATCTCATATAATATTTACTATTTCATCTAATCTATAGCTTGTATTTTACTGGAATATCTGCAGCTAAAATACAGCCCACAAGTAAAACTGAGTGAAAACTTGAAGGCTGAAATGATGAGACATAGGTACAAATGCAGACAACTTTGAATTCAATATAAATTATATTGGAAAAATTGCATAAGATATGAGGTATTAAACGGTTCTAACCCTTCCTTTTATTGGGCTGCGGCGGTGGATGCGACATGTTGCTGGCGAAGATTAATATATGCAATTCTCTGGCCACTAGATCGAATTCCCTCATCTGCAGTTCTCTTTCTTTTTGTTGCAGGTTCTGTTCCATCAGTCTCTGTTGTAACTGAGCTTTTGTCAGTTCCTCTTCACGCCAGCGTAATTCCTGAAAACAATTTTTTGATTATTTTTTAACTACTATTTAAAGTTTTTACTAATAACTAAGAAGGTAGGTGCAATTAATTATATAAGTTTTATATATATTAAAATCAATACGTCAGATGTTACGGCATTGTTATATTAATTTAGTACTTAGTGACCCTTCTATGTATATATATTGTTTTATTTTGCAACATGTTTATTGATATAGTATTGATTAGTGAACATGTATATGAGAGGTGTGGGTTTTCTACCAATTATATTCTTCTTAGTTTGCAGAAAAAAAATGTTGAAACACATAGGTTAGGGTTAAACTAGACATCTTTGACAAACGAATAATAAGCATATAATATATAAGTAGAAACAGAAACAAAACTAACAATATCAATTACATCACTAACCTCCTCTATTGTTTTGCATTCCTATTTGTCAGCATTACAAAGGAAATACATTTCCTCATTAGTATAAGTGGTATTTGGTAGTAAGGATTCATATTGATGTATGGAGGATGAAATTCCACTTAATATGAAATCTATTATGATTGAGTTCGTACAAATCAGCGGAATGTAATAAGTATTTCGCCCTGAGATTATAACATCAATGCAGTAATATAGTCCATTAATTTAGTTTTATGACTGATGACTTTAAGGTCATCATTGTTTTTAAAGCTTCAGACGACGATGTATTAACATATAGACTGATATGTACTATCACTGAATTAAATTATGCTACATGAAAAACACTGCAACAACATTTCTGCACTCATATAGCATAAGGAGGTGACAGTGTTATAGCCAACTCAACAAGTCATAAGCTTAAACTCCTATTTAATCTACAGGCAATAATAATACTAGATGAAACGAGAGATACCTGCTAAGCGAAAACGAGACAGATTGAAAACATGCAATGAAAATGATATTGATATGTCAAACTTTTATTTAATACCTGAGCCGATTACATACCTTTTCTTTCCGTCTGAGATCCCTTAATACCTCCTCGATCTCGATCCGCCAGCCGTCCTGCATCGTGTGGAAGGACTCGTGGGGTGCTCTTGTAAACTCCGACTGCTTGATGTGTTCTAATTGTTCCAGGATCTCAGGGAACTGCGGCCGCTCACGGGGATTCGAATGCCAACATGCTGAAGATGGACATTTGTTTATGTCAATAGTTTTAATACTTGATCTAAACACTACGACACTATATAAGGCGTCGTGACTCTTTTATGTCAGTATTAACGTTATTATTATTTATTTGTAATAATAATTACTTAAGATTTAATTTCGATGTAATACTAAACCGAAAAGCTCGTTACCTGCTTGGGGATAAAATATAAAGTTTAATTAAAAAAATGTCTTATTTAATTTCGAACTAATTCGATAAGGGAATACCTCGATAGCTAACGAAATTATTCAGAAAAATTACAGTCTCATCCTTTGCTACGTCAAATATAATATAAATACGAGTATACTCAGAAAAAACATGTTCAGTACCACTTTCACAAGAATCATAATAAATAACTATTTACCTTCCATGTGGTATTTAAGTCATAAGTATATTAACTATCAGTTACCATATCCACACGACTTTATCCTTCTACATTCAATGAAATGTATTCCAAATTTTATGATAATTAAGCCACGATAGCGTATAACAAACAAACAAAATTTCGCATATATATGACTTAGGATTAGCATATGAAGTATGCAGTAACACATATACAAACAAAGACAACCTACTTTTAATTGTTATGCGCAATAAAATGGCTATTGTGTCGGTATCATATCAAGCCTTCGATTTTCAGTACGCTTTAATGCAATTATTACATAGAGATATAACAATATTATTATTTATATAAACAACAAAGGGATATAAATTAAATGTTATGATAGGATTTAATTTAAAATAGAGACAGAAACAGATGATAACTAATTAAATATTCAATATATGTCACGAAATATTTTGCAAGTGAATAAACGAAAAAGTTTTTGTATTTATAATTAATAGTAGGTTAAAATTATTCATAACTGCGACAATTTTGGATTATTTTTGAAGTCCTTAAGAACTGATATTATTCTGATTCGAATCAATAAATAGTTTATTATTATTAAATTAAAAAAATAATACATAATGTCACAGGATTTGAAGAAGAAAATATGTAATCGAGAACACCTTCTTTTTTTAAGTTGGTTAATTAAAGGCACCATAATACTCACCTTTCATGAGGACTTTCCAAGGATCTGGACAGGTGCTAGGTATAGGCAACGTTAGTTTGTTGATGGCCACGCCATACGCTACAGCTAGTGCGTCGATGCCTTTGTATGGTGTCTCGCCGGTTAGCAATTCCCATAACAGGACTCCGTAGGACCAAACATCTGACGCGTGTGAGAAGGTGGAGTTTTTTATCACCTGAAATAAGAAGTAAAAGAATTTTATAATTGTACACCTTCAGCCAAGGTCTGCAATAAATTAACGTTTTTATGTAAATTCCTATGTCAACTTAATGATTATATAATTAATCGTATAAACCGAGTTATTATCCCGAGTAAACAGTAACCGTACCCCATATACATGAACAGCACTACGACATAGTTACCATGTGATAGCACTCATGAGTTGCCTTTCTGGAAAGGACAGAGGTCACATCTCTGTCAGCTTCCTATACTATAATATCACTACCAAAAAAATAAGAAAACTAGGTTTGCCCGCGGTTTCACCAGCGTGAAATTTATAGCCTATGTAGAAGCTATATTATTGTAAAATTTCATTCAAATCCATTCAGTAGTTTTTACGCAAAAGAGTAACAAATATCCATTTATCCATGAATACTCTCAAACTTCCGCATTCATAGTATACTAATATTGTTGATTTTGTGGGACATAATTTACTATATGTTCCACAAAGACTTAAAAATAAAATCTGCAATTAACAGTTCGATAAATTTTGCTCAAAAAACCGTACATAATCACATAAAAATCTACAGTCAAATTAAGACCTCCTTAATTTTTAAGTCGGCTATAAAATGTTGAATATCGCTATGATTGAATATATAACTCGTGTGTTACCTCCGGCGGCATCCAGGCATAGGTGCCCGCAGCGGACATCCGGGTGGTCTTGTAAACTTCTCGAGCCAGTCCAAAGTCGGTGATCTTGAGCGTTTTATCTTCCAACGTGTCGTCAGGTAGTATCGCCTCGCTGAGCAGCACTGAAATGAACATATACACATTTTAGATCCCTAGCGATATATAATTATAATTATGACATTGTTAAACGAAAGCGAGATATAACCACGTAGGCTAGAACGTGGGTCGGTTGATCTTAAATGTCTATACGCGTGTATGTCAAAAGTGCGCATGGGTGTTACAAAGGTCATTTGTATTAACTATAATATCTAGGGCTTAAAACTGAATTCATACGTAATTTTAATGTAAAAATAACATAATGAAATTGGTTTCGTCAATATTCTATGACAATAGACAACATGGTTACATGATTCGATAATTACAATAATAAAAATTTTAAGTACCTAACCCATTAATAAATTGTTCACCATCTCGATTACGCCAGCTTTCAAACTTAAACTTAAAAAACCACACCATAATCGGTCCATTCGATTAGGGGTTACTATGGCACAGATAGACACGTCACACTTATAACACTCCTCTTTTTCGTTGAAGGTTAAGAAGAACTCAAACAGGATTTTAAGAATATTACATACAATTAGATACTAATTAAACATTATTAAATTGTATTATGGTGACGATTAGATTTGGAACATATTTTTATTTATAAATCGTACCACGCCCTAATACGGGCTAAAGAATAAATATCAAAATCGACGCGACAGTGCAGATTAACTCTCGATTCACGCGTCCATCATTTTGGCAACAAAGGTACCTTCAGGCTGACTGACATGACAGTTGATTGTTGTACATTCAAATTATATATTATTTTTCTCTTTAACATCATAAAAAAAATCAGTTAAAATTCATTACGTAAGGATGTGCGTTCAATACATAATAAAAATAATTACGCAATTGTTAAGTAATAAAATATGCATAAAAATGTTATGTACGTATAAAACATTAATCATTCAATGAACCAAAAAAATAATAATGTAAACAAATATGAATCCGGATTCAACGCAGTACTGAATCCAACAGTATAAAATATTATTATTTTTCCCCTGGACAATTCTAGTAACGGCATTTAGTCCCACCCAAGCTGAGCAGAGCTGGTGTCATAGGTATTAAGTAAGCAACTGAAACGTTTGTATCGAACCCGCGACCATCGGTAGAAAAGTAGAGCGCTAAACCGCTAGACCGAAGTCGTCAAATAATTTTTGTATTTGTGATGTTATTATGACTATTTGAACAAGGATGGTATGGATTACCAGGGTACAGGAACACTGCTCACGCGACTGTTAAAGTGCGACATGAATTATTCAGAAAATGAATGCGCGGGAAGTTCTGCCTAACAGGATATAAATCCGGTTCCTCCCCTTTAAAGATAACCGATAAATTTGCTATTACTACTATACTCTTTTCATTTATCACTAAACGATATTAATACTACAACTACTACCTTATGTAACTTCTTTTTTAATTTCTTACAACTTTTTTTAATTTCCCTATAATGAAATAGTTTACTACTTCTGCTCTAAAGTCAATGGTAAATTTCAGAAATTAGCGGTGTGTTCAATGCATTCTTTCCTATTGTTTAGATCCTCTGTGCCCTTCTTTGGTAATAATGTCGGCCTCTGTGACTATTATCGGAATTAAAATGTGCTATCTGTGACCACGGATTAGCATATTTTAACTCCGATAGTCGCGAGTCGATTCCTTGCACGATACAAACAAATAATGATACTCATGAATACATCATGAGTATGATTGTTTGTATTCGTTTATGTTTTCTATGTTTTCCATATATATGCATATATATATATATATATATTTAAGAAAAAATATGTATTAAGTATTCATTATCATTATTTCAAGCCGAAAGACGTCCGTTTAAGTATTACCTACTGTCAATTGTCTAGTAGCCAAGGCATAAGCTCTGCTTAGCGTAGGGGCTAGACGGCGGTGTGTGAATAGTCCTGGGAGATTATTATCAGTACGTATACTAATATTACTACAATCGAGAAGTTGTTTAAATATAAACTTCAACAGCGATAATGGTTTAAAATACAAATTGCCATCACTTAAATACAATATACAGTATTATGGCGTTTATTAATAGGTACCTATTGATTCTGTATACTCATACGTGCAAAGCGGTTCGTTTCTATCAGATCGTGCGTATTGAATACATAATAAAACTCTTCAACGGATTATGAATACAAACAGGTTTTTATGGTTAAAGTTTTAAACTTTTATTTTAAGATGAAGTTTTTAGAGTTGCTATTATGCGAATCATATTTATCAAGATCCAGCTATTGATTAGTAGGTGTATCTATATATTAATATAAATGTGAAAGTTTGTCTATTTGTTACAATTTTCATAACTAAATGGATGAAAGAATTTTAATGAAATTTTTGGGACGGGACGATATTACGGCACGATTTAAATCTATAATCTCGGATAGGCCTAGTCTTTAGTTAAAACTAGTACAATATAAAAGATCAATCATATAAAACATAGGTATCAATAATCCTAAATGACTATATCCTAACTAAAGTATGTCCCATATTTTGTTACAATTATAATAATAATAACTTTAAGTATACATATATATTAAATGCCTAATAACAATGTTTATTGAAGTCTATCATTCAAACTCCACATGATGATTTTTTATGTATGTACTTACTTGTTAAGCTTAGGAGATAGTAATTTATTTAGTTTAGATAGTTATTATTATCAAGTTAGGTATATTGACAACCGTGAACTCAGGTCACATTTTATTATCACAAATAAATAACTGCGAACTAAAAATAGACTTCGACATCGTCTGGTGACAGCTTGAAGGTGCTTCGATATCAAGATCGATAGAAAATTCTATGAATAGTAATAAAGTCGTTATAGCACAATGATTGTTTTTCTTTTCTTTTATTTATTACCTACCTGAGGTTACCTGTAGGTATGTATGAATTATATTTATATCTTTCAAACACTACGTATTTTTATCAGTAAACAATACTTTTACGCAAGCATATCTCTAATATTTAAGAGGTTGTCTAATTAATATGTAGGTATACAGATGTTATTATAAATTGATTATTGTGTTGTCATTATTACATAGTATAAAACAAAGTCGCTGTCGCTATCTGTCAGTCCCTATGTATGCTTAAATCTTTATAATTAAGCAATGGAATTTGAATCGTTTTTTTTTTAATAGATAGAGTGATTCAAGAGGAAGTTTTATTATTATATGTATAATACATGTACACCCGTGCAAAGCCGGGGTGCGTAGCTAGTTCCTTATATAATTAACAATAAATATACATTAATATACAATACCTACAAAATAATTATAGTGTTGAAAAACAAAACAAGTTATCTACTAAATTATATTTAATAATAATATAAAATTATAAGTTAGAATAATATTATATCAGAAAAATTGAAACGAATTTAGAAATGTTATTCAATGAATATTCGCTCGATAAAAATATGTATTTTGCTTCATGAGACGTGATTGCCACGGTCGTAGTATAAAAAAAAATATAAGGGTACAAAATGGGTGGGAAGAACAACAATCCCTTATCGAAGGTGGGGTAACTGAAAGTGCTGAAAAGGTTATATATATATATTTACTTTTGAAGAATTAGGACTGCATTTTTAACAGGTAATAAAGAATCCTCATTACAGTTGTCGACGAAATACTATTTCTTTTTTAAATCAAATCTACTAGTTAAATTTATACTCCTTGAACCTACTGTTTTGAAAGTTATAAAATATGTCAAGAAATTTAGTTACTTTGTTTTTTGGCAAACTTTTAAACTTCTGTTTGTAAGGAAAGAAACAATTTCATAATTTGTATTTATTACTTTTGTCGTAGTTACAAGGTCTACGTAAACCATTTTTAAGATTTGTCCACATTTGTCTTCAGATCGTATAATAGAAATGAAACAGTTAGTAATAGCTCCATATTCACAATACCTATTCTAAAAATAGTTATAGAAGGTTTAGCCTTTATTTTTATGATTTATTTATTTATTTATTCTTTTGCACACAAAAATGTATACATGGCGGACTTAATGCCTGATGGCATTCTCTACCAGTCAACCGTCGCGTTGATCAGAGATAATTGCACTTTAATAATTAATTATTATAACAAATAGATACATAAAAATAATACATATATATACAGATGCAAATATATAAAAATACTAATATACCAATATAAAATATATAAGTTTATGAATTACATATAAATAAAATATAAATTTAAACTACATATAATAAATATTCATATAATCTCATAGTTTATATAATATCATATCTCAATAGAAGTTTGGTTGAATACTATTAAAGAAATTTGGAATAATGTTCACGCAAGGACCTCTTCAAGGTAAATTTGGTTTGACATCTTCTATGTAGGTGATAGAGGTAGAGTATATTAACAGATATAGTATATATCTATCATAATACTAACAATGCTTTTGCCTACGACTTCGTCCGGGTGTATTTATCAATATGCCCTATATCTATCACGGACAAGCCATATGGTATACCGTTAGTTAAAACCAATTTACGTTTTTTTTTTCATAAACTGAAAATTCATTCCAGTCGTCATGATTACATATGTGTGAAATTTAGTATCAAATCAACACTAGGAAAATCCTATGGATTACAAAAAGGATCACCTTAATTGGTTAGGTAAAGATACGGTGTCAACCTCCTCTTTATTGAAGACGGCTGATAAAAAGCTGGTATATGTCTGTCTGTAACTGTATTAGCACCCGCTACGTAAACTAATACCATTGCAATTTACCACTTATATTCTTGGTTCAATAAAATTGAATTATGTCCAAACTTGGTAGGATCGAGTATTTTTATTGCGGACTTTACCACGGTCGACTTTTATGTGCGCTTTTATGTTCCCAAATTTTCTTTGAAGTGTAGTTGGTTACTTATACCTTGTATACGATGTCGACGCCCTCGTTTGTTGTAGTGGTTTAGCACACCGTCTTGCTGCCGTTGGTCGCGGGTTCGATTCCTCGCACGGTGCAAGCATTTGTATTCATAAGTGTGATT